GGGGGGGGGGGATTCTATCTCATTAATATCTCTTGGAAGAAACTAAGCATTAATCCTTAAATTTAAAGTGCCCACAATGGATATCGAGATCAAGTAATTAGGATTGTGATTTAAAATTATTCAAATCCCGAAGATATGAATATTATATCCCTACTTTTATGAAGATTATATCCCTACCTTTATGAATAATATCCCTACCTTTATGAAGATTATATCCCTACCTTTATGAATATTATATCCCTACCTTTATGAAGATTATATCTCTACCTTCATGAAGATTATATCCCTACTTTTATGAAGTTTGTATCCCTACCTTTATGAAGAATATATTCCTACCTTTATGAAGGTTATATCCCTACCTTTATGAAGATTATATCTCTACCTTTATGAAGATTATATCCCTGCAATTATAAAGATTATATTCCTACCTTTATGAAGATTATATCCCTACCTTTATGAAGTTTATATCCCTACCTTTATGAAGATTATATCCCTACCTTAATGAAGATTATATTCCTACCTTTATGAAGGTTATATCCCTACCTTTATGAAGATTATATCCCTACCTTTATAAAGATTATATTCCTACCTTTATGAAGATTATATCCCTACCTTTATAAAGATTATATTCCTACCTTTATGAAGATTATATCCATACCTTTATAAAGATTATATCCCTACCTTTATGAAGATTATATCCCTACCTTTATGAAGATTATATCCTGACTCGAATATTATCGGCGGAAGTAGAACAAGGAAGAAAGCTGTTGGAGAGAAAGATTCGATTCTCTTAGTTTCAGCTTCCGGTAGAAGCTTCATAAACAAACCAATAGTAGCTCCCAGGAATACTAATTAATAATAATAATTGAATGGATAAATAAAAAAATAATGAAAGAATGAATAAATTAATAAAAATGAATAAAAAAATGGTTAAATAAAAAGATAAATAAATGAACAATTAAACGAAAGGAAGATCAATGAATGAATGAATGAATAAATGAATAAATGAATAAATGAATAAATGAATAAATGAATAAATGAATAAATGAATGAAAGGATGGATGAATGAATGGATGAATAAAAGGATGAATGAATGAATAAATGAATATTTACCTATAGCTAAACTCTCTGGAATATAATGGAATTTAGTCTGTAGAAGAAGATGAACCAGGAAGATGCAGAGAACTATAACGAAGAGGAGGAAGAAGATTGCCAAGGAGCTGGAGTGTTCCTTCTCAGCAGCACCTTTCTCTGGTAGTACAATCTGCTCTATAGTTTCCTCCTTAGTTGCATTCTGCAGATACAAACATTTTTATTTTGAATTCTATTTATTTTCAAAAATTCCCCCCCCCTTCCCATTTTTATGGGGATGAGTTCAGAAGGTCTGAATTTTGTTTGAGACTTTTAAAGACTTTTCCCAAAAATTCATTTGTTCAGAACAAAAAAATTATGAAATGTTTAACTTTCATTCCTTCGAAAAACCTCCGCTTAGGATTAGTAGAACAAGAAATACTTGACATTGTAAGGTTTCTAACAAATTCCATCTCCCCACCCCCATAAATTTCAAAGCCATGGTCAGAGAATATTGTTTGGCACAAAAACTGGTAAAGTTTCGAAGATGACAAAAAAAACAATAATTTTTTTATTCCAAAATTTCATGAATGATGATACTATGGTTGCAAGAAGGGGAAAGCAAAAATTGAGTAACAAGACATGTTAGAAGTGTGTCACAAAAAAACAGGATCAAGGTGTTTGTAGACAAAGAGATGACAACCCTAATAGCGCCTACTATCATAAAAATGTATAAAAATGTATAAAAATGTATAAAAATAAAGTCTTTCTATCTAATTGTATTTAGTATGAAACAAAATGTAAACAAAAAGTTTGGTATCCCTTTGAAGCTTCTGTTGCATTTTTTATTTCTCCTCCTCCTCCATCCACTTTCTCTCCTTCTTTTCCTTCCTCCTTCTCCTCGGCGTCATCTGAAAAAATTAAATAAAAATGACAAAAATCAAGGAAAAGGAGATAAACAAGAGTTTCAAGCGAACGGAAACTTTCGAGAAAAAATGCGAAAATTTTTGTTCGTATTTCGCAAATTTTTTTTTGCGCGGAAATGATTTAAGTAAAAAACTGCGAAAACGATGCGAAATTTTGCGAAAACACTTTTCGCGAAATTTTTTTTTCGAGAAAACCACATGTGTTGTAGCTGCAACAATTAACTGCGCAAAAAAACTTGTGGAATTCTTCACTCTGATATCTCAGCATTAGAAGTTTTATTATATCATAATTAATAATTTCTCTTCTGTATTTTTTTCTCGCAAATTTTTGTATTTTTTAAATGTTCGCATTGGTTTTTTCGCGAAATTTTTACATTTTAACGCAAAAATTTTCGCAGTTTTCTCGAGCGAACGAAATGCGAAAAAATGCGAACAAATTTTTTGCTTGGAACTCTAAGAAAACACAATACTAAAAATATGCTTTTATGATAAAAAATGTAGTATATTTTTAAAGAGATTTTTAACAAGATTTTAAGTGACCGTCAGTTAAAAAAAATTAAAATGTGCCAATCCAATCAAAGCAACTGAATTCTAGCTTGTATCTTCAATTTTCTAATCCCTAACTTTGCACCCAAATTGTGTAAATCTTTGATATCTCATACAGTCACCCATACTTTAGTAGAGGTCAGACTTAAAGGGACTGTAAGCGTATTTTAAAGTGTCCGTCGGGTCCATGAAAATATGTTAATGTCTGATTTAATCCATTGAAAGCTTTGTCTGATCAAGTATATATCAGATATACAATGTTATTGGTTCTTTAAATGTTTATTTTTATTTTTGGTTCTCTGCAACAGGGACTTGCGCATTTTCTTCCTGTAGAATCATTGGAGAAATAATCAGAATTAAACACTTGTCGAGTCAGAAAAACGACAATATCTTCTACATTTTTGATCAGATTAAGGTTTCTAGGGCACCGTTGTAAATCAGGCACTGTCATCTTTGTATACAGGGTAGCTCTAAATTATGCTTACAGTCAATAGAAGAAGATTTCATACTTAAGAATATAAAAGGTCTACAAAATCAAGTTGCAAATATAATTAAAACTAGAAAATTACAATCTATAGTAATTAGTTCGGCGTATAGCAACATGGCGTATTTTCCGGGAGAACATTTTTTATATTTTTGAAAAATTAAATTATCAGTGTAAAGTAAATATAATTTTCATATAATCCTTTTATTTAAATGGTAAAACGAAATTTTATGAAATCATATTAGCATTACTGGAGAGCTTTTTTTTATAATTTTTTCCAAACCTAAAATGTATGTATTAAACTATTTTGCTCCTTTAATGTCTAGGTTATGTTAAAAAAATAGAAATTATGATAATGATAATGATAAGCTACAATATTTCACAAAAACGTTTAATTTTTCAAAAATATAAAAAAATGTTCTCCCGGAAAATACGCCATGTTGCTATACGCAGCGGGTCCATACGTTGGATTTCATTTCTATAAGGTTTGACGCCACTAGTTCTTTACTTAATTTTCTCTAAAAAATATTTTAAGGGGAATATTCTACCTTTGGAAAATAAATTAGGATCCTCTGTCGGTCTTTTTTCTTTTACAGAGTCAGGAGAACTAAATTCACAAAATTATCATTTTTTTAATGGATTTTTTAAAGAATCATTTGGAACGGGAATTTGACAATTTTATAAATAATTGAGAAACTGTATGTTAGGATATCCGAAATATCAAAAGCAATTTACTTTAAGTTTCTTACTAATTGATAATTTTGGAAATTTTAAAAAATTATTGATAAGAATCCGGAATTTTTATTATTTGAAGTTTTTTTTTAATAATATTTGGATATTATTCTGACAAATTAAAAAAAAAACATTAACACTTTATGCAGAAATTAACATAATATGAATTTTTACTAAATAAAATGGATTTTTACGAAAATTTAACAACATTTTTAATTTTTTGGGATTATGTTGGGAAAATTGAAAAGTTTTTAACTGAAATTTTCAAACAACGGGTAGTTTTTATTAACAATAATAAAAGTAATAACAAAAATAATAATATTAATAAACCATTGATTTTGTTCCTTAAGCTAGGTGGTTCTCCGCTCTGTACATAAACAAGTGTGCATAAGAACAGTATAAACGTACAGGTTATGTATACTCTAGATGCCCTCATGTTAAGGCATTTATCTGAAAGTACAGAAATGTGGTTATTTAGCAATTTAAAAGGGACTGGAGACAGTATTTTAATTGGTTCTCTATTTCAAAATAACATTTCTTGAATTTCTTCAACCAAGACAAGAAGCAAATGACCACAATTAAATTTCCAATATTAAAAAAAAAATTTTGAACTTTTTTTTTCTTAGACATAGAAAAGGTAATGTTTCGTATCATTGAGTACTTTTAATTACAAGTGTTTAGTAACCATTTCATTTAATTTTGATGCGGATCCGGATCCAGCTCAATAAGTTAGCAAATTTCTTATACCAAAACAAAATGTCTAAAAAATACTTAAAATTAGGAAGATTTTACTATGATCTCAATCAAAATGGTGTTTATACAAAATATTTAACCTTTCTTTTTAGAGTTAGCATTGTACATTGACTATATTTCGAAACCTTATATACTGTTCAAGTTTCCAATACGTGATATAAACAAATCCAATTTGTATTTTAGGTCTGTTGATAAATTATTACCTAATATGGTTAATAAACAACGCAGAAAGGATAATCCTTTTTAAATTCTATTTTTCGTTTAGAAACTTCTATACTTCTATTTATTCATAATTTTGATAATCCTGCGCATTTGCACGAAACGATTAAGAAAATTTGGCTAATTATACAAACTTAAAGGGAGTGTTTGCGAAAAATGAAAGAGGGTAGGCTTAAAGCGAAAAAAAACCGATTTGATCGCTACTAATCTTATTTCTATTTGTTGCGTCTATAAGGAGAAAATTGTTTAAAACGACTTATACTGAAGAACGTTGCGTCCATACAAATTGAGAAAGTTGCAATATAAGCCTTTACCCCATTTCATTTTTTTCGAACACTCCCTTTAAAAGAAATATTTAAAAGTTAAAAAGAAACTAATTCTTAAACAAAAGCTCCATTTTGTTAAAACATTCATTAAAATAAGAATTAAAGAATATATTTCATGATGGTGAAACATAAATGCCAACAAATTTCATGTTAAGTCTTTAATAAATATGGATAATTCTACTTGCAAAATATTGTACATATAATTTACAATATCATAATTTTTTTGTATTCAATTAAACTTTTTAAAAAATCCCTTCGATCTTAACAGGCAAGTCAGTTAAAAGAAATAGACAAATCTCTTTAAAGCTATGTAATAGGTTAGGCCATCAAAGTAACTAATTTTAAAATAATATCAAGGTGTAATAAATATAGAGGCCCCATAGTAAATCTAGGTAAATGTGCTCATTAGTAAATACGTAAATCATGTATTGCAATTTACCCAATCTAGATACGTAGATATATATAACTCCGTCAAACCCATATTGTGATTGCTTAACTACGTTATATTGTTGACATTGATAGCTGATCGTGCCCTTTGGTTTGGCATTGATCGATTATGTGCTTTAGTCCGTGCTAACATTAATAGCTGATCGTGCCCTTTGGTTTGGCATTGATCGATTAAGTGCTTGTGTCCGTTTAAGAGATTGATAGCTGATTGTGCCCATTGGTTTGGCATTGATCGATTAAGAGATCGTGTCCTGATTGACATTGATAGCTAAGCTTGTGTCCTTGCGGACATCGATAGCTGATGAGAGATTGTGTCCGGGTTTAGCCATTGATAGCTATGTGAAACTGAATTCTACCTGGAAAGATACGGGTTTGAGAAACCCTTATGGAGTAGGGCATTTACTACAAAGGGCTTTATTCCAAAAGTCTAAAATCTAGATTTTCTTCTAAAGTATTCTAAAAAAACCCTCCATTTTAATTTAACTTTTAATATGTGGTTAAAAAGATGTCTGTTTAGTTTATACTTTTCAGCATCGAAAAATAAGGACAGTGGCACAAAGCGCTCATATTTTTAATTATAAACATTATTACTTACTAATGAATAGTCCAGCCAAGAATAAAATTTTTTTCTTGAAGTCCATTGAGTCGGAATCATATCATGTTTAATTCTGAGAATAATAAGAATAAGAATAAGAATAAGAATAAGAATAAGAATATGAATATGAATAAGAATAAGAATAAGAATAAGAATAAGAATAAGAATAAGAATAAGAATAAGAATAATTCACTGTTCATATAAAGTGTCACCACAGGTATACTGCATAGTTTCTTAAAGGGAGCATAAAACCACTCACTTTGAATAATCAATTTTCAGCTAGACAAATATGGATAAGGATATCTCATTCTTCCTTTTCTTGTTCAGACATAGTTGTGAATCGGACATGAAGGGTTACATGAAAGTACGTCTACACTCATTGAAACTGAATGTTAAACGCCGAAGAAGAAATCTAATTTTTAAAAAGTTGGGAGCGAGGGGGCTTAATCAAAATATTATCAATTTTACAACTATTGATAGAAGTATTGATATGAACTGAAAGGTTGTAGTAGCCGGTATTTGTTCATACAGACACTTGTACTTTTAAACTACCACCTGTTCTAGCAACAGAGCGGTTTACAGAGACCAAAGATACGTTAACAGCCGGGTCGTAAGGATACCCCCCCAGGGGCGTATTCGGAAATTTTTCCGGGGGGGGAGGCTCAGTACCCGTTGGGACCAAAAAACAAACCTGAAAACCATAGACTTCACCCAAAGGGGGCTAAGCCCTCATAGCCCCACCCTGAATGCGCCTCTGATATCCCCCCTGCCCCAACAATGGTTCTAGAAGCCGGTTCGATAATAAGAAAAATAAAGGTTTTTGAATATAAATAAAATAAATAAATTAAGATTTATTTCTTGGACATCATAGAAGTTTTTATACCCTGCTAAAAATATTTTTGTAATCCCTAAACTAAAATAAAAGTATACTGAACGATTCTTACAATGCTTGGTTGCTCAAACTGTCTTTGTTCAATATTAACATTTAAAAAAAAATGAAATATGCTTGTAAACAATGACATTTTAGTGTCCTTGAAGATTATATTTCATCGTGATGCGGATCCAGATTCTTGATCCGTCCTGTTTAATAAAATCTAATTTCCAAAATGTTTTTCTTTTTATCGCTGATTTTAAGGCAAAACTTGATTCACCCTTAAATTATTCACACTTGAAATATTTTTCAATGTGTTCTGTTGGATATTTTGTCATTCGGAGCTGTAACCATTATTCTAAGCACTGAAGAAAGGTGGCGCTAACCCTCCCATCAGATATCAAGGGGTCTCCAATAGAATATACTAAGTGGTCTCCAATAAAATATTGTAAGCGGTTCCAATGAAATATAGTAAGTGGTCTCCAATGAAATATTGTAAGCGATCTCCAATGAAATATAATAAGTGGTCTCCAATGAAATATAATAAGTGGTCTCCAATGAAATATAGTAAGTGATCTACAATAAAATAAAGTAAGCGGTCTCCAATGAAATATAGTAAGTGGTCTCCAATGAAATATAGTAAGTGGCGGTCTCCTATGAAATTTAGTAAGCGGTCTCCAATGAAATATAGTAAGTGGTCTCCCGATCACAAATATTTCTCCGCATATCACAAATATCTCTCCCCCGATCACAAATATCTCTCCGCATATCACAAATATCTCTCCCCCCGATCACAAATATCTCTCCACCTATCACAAATATCTCTCCCCCGATCACAAATATCTCTCCGCATATCACAAATATCTCTCCCCCTTTCACAAATATCTCTCCCCCGATTACAAATGTCTCTCCCCAGATCACAAATATCTCTCCTCAGATCACAGATATCTCTCCCAAGATAACAAATATCTCTCCCCAGATAACAAATATCTCTCCCCCGATCACAAATATCTCTCCCCCGATCACAAATATCTCTCCCCCGATCACAAATATCTCTCCGCATATAACAAATATCTCTCCCCAGATCACAGATATCTCTCCCCAGATCACAGATATCTCTCCCCAGATCACAGATATCTCTCCCCCTATCACAGATATCTCTCCCCAGATCACAAATATCTCTCCCCAGATCACAAATATCTCTCCTCAGGTCACAAATATCTCTCCCCAGATCACAAATATCTCTCCCCAGATCACAAATATCTCTCCCCAGATCACAGATTTCTCTCCTCAGATCAAAGATATCTCTCCCTAAATCACAGATATCTCTCCCTAAATCACAGATACCTCTCCTCAGATCACAAATATCTCTCCACCTATCACAAATATCTTTCCCCCTTTCACAGATATCTCTCCCTAAATCACAGATATTGCTCCTTAGATCACAGATAAAATAAAAACTGAAGACTATGGAATAAATAAGACACCTTTAGACGAAGAAGAACCACATGTGTCTTCATAATTATCATTTTATCGGATAAATGCACATGCAATGTGTTTGTAACAACAATATTTTGTTTTCTGATATTCAGTATTTTATATGACAATTTTGAAGATTCATAAAAAATGAATCAAGATGGATTTGATTTAAAAATGAAAACTAAAAAATTTCTTTTAAATGATGAATAAAAATTACCATGAATGCAGTAGCAAAAACAAATTAGAAGAAACGTTTAAATGAAAAAAATGACAAAACAAAAATTATTAACGAAATGAAAAATGATAGATCATTAGGGAGGCGGATTTTTCTGTTTAATGTTGATATAGAATGGGTAGTAGAAGTAGGTATTCAAGGATACCATCCATTTTTTTTTTGATAACTTAAAAAGTGTTCGAATCTTTTTTAATTATTTCTTTAGATTTTGGCCAACCTTTACGAATTTATTTCTTTTAAACAACTTTAATAAACTTCATTTATATTGTCAAAATTTTAATTCACAAAAATCTGTTCAAATACACTGTAACGTACACCCATAGGAATAGACAGTACGGTATATTAAACCTACCTACTTAACAATTCTCAACCGTAACCATTGAATCGGACTTTCTTTACAGACAAAAAACAAAATCGGTTAGAAATCGCGGCTATAGCATTGAGAGCCAAATTTGATGAATAGCAAATACATATCTGAATGTAGAATTCAACCACTTCTCTTGAGCGCCGGTTCAAACTAACGAGAAGATGTTGAACCAGGGACAGAATGTAATGAATTTGAGTTCCGTCTCTTAACTACCTTCTGTCGGTTCAAAATTAAACCACAGATTTAAAGTAAGATTAAGGAAGAATTAAAGTCGGAGACTCAAATTTTAACCGGCCTTAGGCAGTTCAAATTCATTGAACTCGGTCCCAGGTCTATGCGGTTCAACCAAATCCTGCTAATCATTAAATTCGGTTTAAACAAAGTTCTTATTTTTGACACTCAAGACATAAGACTCAGCGCGAAAAAGTTATCATGACTATGATTTCAAAATTAGTATGTAAGACATCAATAGTACAATTACTGCAGATTGCACCTACTCTACAGTTCTCAACCTGGACAATGTACATATTCTGAAACAGTTGTATACTGTACCCCTACTACCGTCTACCATAATACATTGCTATCTGAAAAACAGGATTTTGGTTAAATTAGGTACAATATATGTAGACTTACTGAATTACAAACTTTGACAAATGTTTTAAAAATAAAATTAATACATCAAATTTTATATATTGATCTAATTTTAAAAGCTGATTTTAATATTGAAACTCATCCAGAACCGTTTAGGAACAAACTAATTAAATTTCCTTTTTTTCTTCTTCAGAAAGTAACTTAAGATATCGTCTTTTCTTTTTCATTCGACAGAGGCGGCATAAAAGAACATATTATTTTACGATTTTTAGAGAAAAAAATTTTGCACGTTTTTTACATCAAAGGGACTTTAGACGAAGTTTCAAGTGACCCATAATACCCGATTTGCGACGTCAAAATTAACAGCTTTTACTGATCAAGCATGAAATAGATATCCATTTTTGTTTGTTTATTTTTACTATTTATTTTCATTTTCGGGTTCTCTGCAAAAGTAACTTGCGCATTTCTGGCTTTTAAGAAACAATATAGAAATTCATAGAAAAAAAACAGTTTTCGAGTCAGAAAATTACGTTATCTTCAACATTTATGATTGAAGTTTCTAGTGTACTGTTGTAAATCTTGCATTGCTATCTTTGCATATGGAGGGTCACTTGAAATTGCGCTTACAGTCCCTGTAAACAAGGAAAGGTGTTCAAAATATAAGATTTCAAAAAAAAAAATAAAACTAATTTTGAAACTTTTTTACGGAATAACTTTATTATTAGAAAACGAGCGACTTTGTGTGACTCGTGAGCCTCGGAGTCCGTAATCTTCACTCTGAGCCACAGCAGCCTGTCTTCCTGGTTTTCACCATGCACTGAAATCCCCGAATCCTCCAGTCGTTTTCGGTTTCTTGAATACTGGCGGGGCCTGAAATTTTGACAAAATAATTTAAGTGTAAAATACAAATAAATATTGACTGTTTTTCATCAATTCCATTCTCCGTACAGCCGTGTGGCGTTTATTTACTAGATTTATTGTAAAGTTACGGTTTATATTGATTTACAATAGGGCAGTCCCTTGCTCCTTTCTGCTCATGGTTTTGACATAAAAATCTCCAAACTATCAGAGGGGCGCAGGTGTCTCTCATCTACTATTTTCCTTTCAATAATTTATTTACCTGCTCCTCAGCTTTTCTTGCTTCCTTCTTCACACTAGGGTTAATATACTTCCCAACTCCGGACCCAAACACCTTCCTCTCCTAAACAACATTTTTTAGGTTTAAAGGGTATATAGACGTAATTTCAAGTGAAATTTCAATTTAAACCTCTATTTGAGTATTAATGAGGAAGATATCGTCGTTTTCAGCTAAAAAATGTGCTGAATTTTGAAAATTTCCTTTGTTGTTTCTGTAAAAAAAAGTACAGTTGAAAATAATTGATTTTATTTAGAATGATATGAATATTTGATTTACCTTAAAGGTGTTCAAAGGTTTAAAGGGTGGCGTTGTGAATTTGACAAGCAATTTGTGGCGCAATTAGCACTTTTGTGAGGGGGGAGGGGTTAGCCAATTAAGATAGTTTAAACCAAACTAAGAACAATCAAAAGTTAAGGCAAAGCGTTCAAGGGGTTCATGAGTTATGATCGGACAGACGAACAGACAAACAGAGATTACTACTTTATATAAAGAATAATTACCTCGGTTTTATCCTTGTTTACAGGGTTCTTCTCCAGATTTAGCTGAAACAAAATAATGATCAATCTTTAATTTTTCTTTCTAGCAGTCCTCTAAAAAGATGGTCATAAAACCTTCCGTCCATATAATTCCATTTCTGATCCCGAATGAGATCGGGGTTGAAAGTACATTTAACGGCATCAAAATACACTTCCTGTGTCATTGTGAACTTTGACAAGTTTTTGTGTAGGTGTCCTAAACTTCAGAAATGTGTACTGCATTTGGGGTGTTAAAAGATGTAAATATTAGTAATCAATATGAGAGATAAATTATGATATACAGAAAAAAAACACTCCCTCGCAGTATACATTCTGCAGTGTGGAATTTTTTCTACAACTTGACATCATACTACCAATAGTTTACAATGACAACATGGTTAATTTCTGCCCTAAATATCGATCAATCGACATTTTGAATCGTATTGGATCGAATAAGATGGACCACTGCTTCTTACTCATTAAAAAGTGAATAAAGTTTCTTCTACAAAAGAATTTGAAAAAAAGAGGAAAATTTTATAAATAGTTTTTTTTTTCCAAAAAAGAAATGTGCCAAACTTGACTGATACAGGGTTTCACTACAAAATACTTGTTCTAGCTCAGCAGAAACATTTTACAAGATTATAGAAAAATGTACATGACTGATACAGGGTTGAAAACGAAATAGATGGGGGTCACCTTCTCAATCTCTTTTTCTCTCATCTCCTTAAGTTGATCTTCGGCCTCTTGGAAAGGATCGACGAAGACGGCTACCCGTTCGATCTTGATATCCTCCACAGGTTTATCCTTGTTATCAGTTCCAATAGCTTCAATAGTGGTCAACGTATCCATACCTTTGTTATGAGTCAAGTTCAAATCGAATAGAATCTAGCCTAACCTAACAAAACCATACCAAACCGAGTCAAATGGAATCGAATCGAATCGAATCGAATCAAACCGAATCAAATCAAATCAAATCAAATCAAACCGAATCAAATCAAATCAAATCAAATCAAATCAAATCAAATCAAGTCAAATCAAATCAAATCAAATCAAATCAAATCAAATCAAATCAAATCAAATCAAATCAAATCAAATCAAGTCAAATCAAATCAAATCAAATCAAATCAAATCAAATCAAATCAAATCAAATCAAATCAAATCAAATCAAATCAAATCAAATCAAATCAAATCAAATCAAATCAAATCAAATCAAATCAAATCAAATCAAATCAAATCAAATCAAATTAAATGAAATCAAGTGAAAGGGAACTATTATTATAATTTTATGAGTTAAGATGATTCAAGATTTCATAAGAAGAAAGCGTAATTCTCTGATTTGATTATGTTACAAAGACATGACACAACGTTACATTAAACTAGTTTTATGCAGATCAATGCTTGTAATTAAGTTAAATTCCATGAAAAGCCTAAACTAAGGATCTATAGAGTTACAACAATTACCTCCCACAAGTTTGCCAAAAATTGTGTGTTTTCCATCCAAATGTTTGCAGGATCTGAAATAGTCGTTTTAATTAAGTAAAACAAAAGTCAAACCTAATCTAATCAATTCAGACTTTCAGGGATGTTCTACGACCACACAAACAATCTCGAAGTGACTATTGGTTTTACGATTTTTAACACTTGCATTAACGTACGCAATAAAACCGGAAATTTTGATTAAAACCTCTTTTTAACATAATTGTTCTTAAATGCAAAGGAACTAAGCTATAAAAATGTCTGCACGGGCAAAGACTAAATTTTTAGTTATCTTGATCTTTAAAAATGATAAATAACATTGACAGCGTGTATGCCAAAATTAAAATAATTTTCAATAATATTCAAAGAGAAAATAATGTTCTACAGAACCAACTAAATGACATTTCACATGTCAAACTACGCTATTTACAGTGTATTATTCTACAACTGAAGAAAACATTTTTTTTTAGTGGAATGAGGCTATAAATGTCACTGCACACTTGCGGGTTTTCTTTTATATTTATCTACTAGCTGAAGGGCCCGGCGTTGCCCGTGAAAAAAATTTGTCAAACAAAATTTTTTAAATTTTTTTAGCTTATTACACCCCACGGCCACCCATGAGTGTCCACAAAAAATTTAAGCCCAATTGGTCAAGCTGTTTGGCCGGCTATACGCAACATATATATATATATATACGAATGTCTTGTATTATTATATAGATTTAAAGGGACTGCTAGAGTAATCTCAAGTACCCTCACTGCAAAGGCGACCACGCCAGATTCCCACCAGCTTCCTTGAAAGCTTTTTCGGTTCAAATAAGAATGATATATTAGTGTTAATAATTTTGAAAGTTTTAATTTTTAAATTCTCTACAATAATTACTTGCGCATTTCATGCTACAGGAAAAAATGTATTAATTATCAGAATTGAACACTAATAAACCGAGAAAACAACAACAATATCTTCCGCATTATTGATCAGATAAAGGTTTTAAGGGTACCGTTGTGAATCGGGCATTGACATCTTTGCATGGCCAGTCACTAATCTGAACTTATCGTAACTTTAATCTAAACATCGTCTTCATGTTCCACACTTTATGCCATGTATAACCTGTAGGTAATGAAGAACTGCGACTTGTTAGAGTCTGGTCCTGAGTTAGCCATGGATAGAACACCTCGTCCTGTATGATGATACTGAGGCTTTATCTCATCCTTGGAAATCATAGCAAAGTAATTAAGGGGATAGGAAATTTTGCTCGTGTCATGTTATCTCGCGTCATTATTGCTAAATAACTTTTTCTCTAAAAAAACCATGCAGCCCTGTGCATAATTTAAAATGGTTTGCAGCTTAATTAAAAAAAATTATTGGCAAAATACTGCTTGATGTCCTACGCTTAACGCTCCCCACCACCACATCTAGTGCCAGTGCTTGGCCGATGGCCCCTATTATAGCCTGCGGCGCCTCTGAATAATGTGAAAGGGAGGTTTTTCAATTTTCATATAGAAAAAAAAATGGTTGTGCAATTCTGACGGTATCTGGGTGTTCGACAAAAATGACGCTAACATTTTTTTTCTTTCATGACAATAAACGCCCTTACTTATATTTAAGATATAAGAATAGCCAAAAATTAACAATAAAAAATCTATAAAATACCTTGAATGTTCCGCCGAAATGAGAGTCTCCGCCTGAACCAGTTCCTGTAGGATCTCCGCCTTGTAACATGAAGTGGCGAATAGATCTAAACAGAACATTATTTTAAGGACAGGAATTTTTTATGGCATTTTATGAGCAGAGGGGGGGGGGGCTCCCTTGATGATCAGTTTTCAGGGGGTTTTGGAGCCCCAATGGGTTCTCAGCTTGCCTAGAAAAAATGTAAGCCCCCTCTGGACTGGATCATGTGAGTGATTAAATAATTTTACCTATGGAATATTGTGTTGTTGTAATATCCCTTGGCGCAGAGTTTCAGGAAGTTTTCACAGGTTTTAGGTACAGTGTCACAGTACAGTTCAAGGTTCAGAGGTCCTAGAGTACAAATAAGATTTAGTGTACAAGTGTACAGTGTCACAGTAAAGTTCAAGGTTCAGAGGTCCTAGAGTACAAATAAGATTTAGTGTACAAGTGTACAGTGTCACAGTACAGTTCAAAGTTCAGGGGTCCTTGAGTACACATACAGTTTAGTGTACAAGTGTACAGTGTCACAGTACAGTTCAAGGTACAGGGACCCTTGAGTTCAAATACAGTTTAGTGTACAAGTGTACAGTGTCATAGTACAGTTCAAGGTTCAGGGGTCCTTGAGAACAAATACAGTTTAGTTTAGGTATTTATGCAATGTCAAATTATGTTATAGTTTAAGTTTTAGAGCTCTTAATTGATAAGCTTTAGTAAAATGTCAAAGCAAAGAATACTGCAATATACACAAATTTATCTATAAGTACTTGTTGTATGTTGCATGTAATAATGAGTTAAAGTTTTAGAGTAATAATGAGTTACCTAGGTTTGTATTGATCCTAACATAGCCTTTCTTATTTACGAGTCTGGAAATAGACAAATATTAGTTTTGACAACAAAATGTTGAGAAGACAAAATTACAGACAAATAAGCAAACGGACGACAGACAATTACTAACAGACAAATTAGCAAACGGACGGCAGACAATTACAAACAGACAAATAAGTAAACGGACGACAGACAGACAATAACAAACAAATAAGCAAACGGACGACAGACACACACTAAAAGACAAAATTTCAAAAATAAAATAGTAAATGCGTTGAAAAATGATAAATTATAGCTAACAATAAAGTTAGAATAACTGATAAATTGATGATTTAAAGGGACATGTGGCATGTCCTATTCACAACAGAACCAATAAATTATTCATTTAAACAAGTTTGATGTAGTTGGCCCTGTTTTTCTATCTAAAAATTGATTATTTGCAAGGGGGAATAATTTAAGAATTTATGCACTTTACCAGGAAGAAAACAACTAGATTTTCCTCTTTTCTTTCTCAGATAGAGTTTTACACGCGTACTGTTGTAAATTGGGCATGTCGTTTTTTTATTTTTTTACAGAATATATATAGAATTTTTATATATATAGTTTTAAATATAGAACATGCAATGATGCAACTAACCTGTACTTAACAATATCTTCATCTAGAATAGCTGCCTCAGTTTCAGTGACTCGATCATATGCAGTACTGGTTAAACTAGCGCCTCTCAATCCTAAAATAAGCTTAAGTTTGATCATAGAATCTAAAATGTCTGGCTTTATTTCAGCGATTAATATTTAGAAATCTTTAAACAATCTTAACTTGATCCCAGAATCACTTGCTAAACTACGCTTCTTTATCCTAAAATAAGTTTAATTTGATCCTAGAATCTAAAATTGCTGCCTCATTTTCAGCAAATTATTTGTAGTAATCCTAAAATAATCGTAGCTTGCATATTGATGCTAAAATCAAAATTGTTTTTTGTTAGTTTCAGTGCTTAAGCTATACTTGTTAAACTAGGGCCTCTTTTACAATTTTTTACTTCTTAATATTAAAAAGTTTGTTTACGAGTTCTTTCCATTCAAAATTCCTGTCTTGCTGTTCTATGTTAAGAACCAAAACAAGGCAAAAAAAAGATTTTAAAAGCTTTTTTTTTGTTAAATAAATAGAGCATAGATAGATAGATATAAATAAGATAGATATCTAACCTGTTGAGTAATGAGCTGAATTGAAGATGTCAGCTTTAACCTTCTCAGATACTACTGTTTCAGGGGCCTTGTAGGTCCTCTCCAGTTCATTCAGGGTGTCCCTAGATATTCAAGGGTTAATAATTCAAGGTGGAGTGGAGTTTTCAGGGGCCTGATAGGTCCTCACCAGTTCCTTTAGGGTGTCCCTAGTCCCTAGATATTCAAGGGTAAATAATTCAAGGTGGAGGGAAGTTTCCAGGGGCTTTATAGGTCCTCTCCAGTTCATTCAGGGTGTCCCTAGATATTCAAGGGTTAATAATTCAAGGTGGAAGGGGAGTTTTCAGGGGCCCTTATAGGTCCTCTTGGTAGCTTGTGTGGGGGGGGGGCGTTATATATTCACAGGGGCTTTTTAGGTCCTCTTCAGTTCATTCAGAATGTCCCTTAGTGGTAGGTATTCAGGGGTTTATCTGTTAAAAGTCTGTTCCAGTTTATTCAGAGTTTCTGGAATTTCTCTATAAGGATTAATAAATTGAAGGTGGATGGAAAGAGGAGAGGGTTTACCTGGTTTCATGATTGACCTTCTTCATCCGCGCGCGTGGGTCAGTTTTAGCGCGCTCTAACTCATCATCATCCACCTGAAGTGAATCAGACTTAGTAATTTCATGTTATATGTTGATTTCATTCCATCATAATATGATATTTTTTATTTTAGCATAAAAACTGGTTTTAATATCAACATTCAGTGCTAAGGATCCATTTCATTTGATGCTGATCCGGATCCAGTATCTTCTTTAAATTTGTGTTTGAGTACAAAAAAGTTCACATTTGATGTAAATTGATTGATATTTTCCACTTGGATCCGGATCCAGAGAGCTGAAATGATCCAGAAGATCCGGACCCTAAGCACTGATAAAAACAATGCAATTGATATATGTAAAATAAGATAGACATTTTAATTTTGTCAAATTGGTAAAATCAGGTTTATGTTTTTTTCTATTTACCTTTAAACTGTGTTTCACGTGATGGAAACTGGACAGGTTGAACTTGGTCATGTTTCTAGGATCCTATATAATAGAGAGAAAGTGACAGGATCGAAGGATGGATAAATCAATTGTTAAAAATTTGTTTTTTAAATTAAATAAATGAAAAAAACTTAACTTCATTAATAACTGAATGAATCATAGTGTTATGGTGATAATAAATAGGATAAAAAATTTGAATTTATGTGAAAAGGGAAGACCAGTCTAAAATTAACGTTCTAATAAATAATTGAATTTGCTTATCAATGAATAGATAGATGAATGAATGAATAAACGAATAGGTGAATGAATGAAAATATGAATTAATAAACCAATGAACCAATGAATCAATAAATAAATTATTGAATTAATGAATGAGTTTATGAATCAAGTAATGAATGAATTATCGAAATAAGGTATGAATAAATTAATGAACCAAAAAGTAAAATTAATAAATGAATATAATCAATGAATTGAAGAATAAATAATTAATGAATCAATGAATCAATGAATCAATGAATCATAGAATCAATTATTGAAATAATGAAATAATGAATCAATGAATTAACTAATGAATGAATGAATGGATGTACCTGCAGAATGATAATATCTGATTTAACGAATGGTTCATCATTTATCAGATCTTTGAAATTCTAAAAACAAATTTTTGAAATCATTAAAATCATTTTTTAGCACCCTCATAAAGCTTCATATCGATTTCGAGGACTTTGATATATTAAAGGAACTGTAAAAGTGAATTTAAGAGACCCTCAATTTTATGAGTACATTTCCACGACGTTAATCCTTAAACCTCTAGCTGAGGAAAATAAATAGATATAATCTTGTTTTTCTATCTCAAAAATGTAAAAAAGGCTTCATGCAGCAGAAAAAAATAACAGAATATTTAACTTTTGAAGATACAGAAAAGACAATATCTTCTGCATTGTTACTAAGATAAAATGTCAGCGTGTAACGTTGTGAATCGGTCAAGTAGCTCGTTATAAAATCGTTTATTGGACTAATAAAAAACGATGTCAATATTATCATTGTTTCTAAAAATATTTTCAACAAATTGTTTTCCTTTGTTTTGATATTGAGTTCTTCAACAGCCTCGTAGCAGAACACATTTCCGGTGGTTTTTATGCAAGCAATATGTGTGCTTGGATTAAATACCTATAATATTAAAATATAGAGGTTTTTATGCAAGCAATATGTGTGCTTGGATTAAATAAAAGATAAATTAGATTCACCGAAATAGGGTCAAACGGCATTGGGGTAAACGACCTAAGGTCAAACGACAAACGGTCAAAAACGCAACAAAGGGTCAAAATGGAAAAAAAAATATTTTATGTATTATATGATGGTTAGGTAAGGTTAAGATAATTTCTGGGCCGAGCGCTGCGGCTAGGACAGGATAGGGGGCCGAGCGCTGCGGCCACATGTCTTACATTTAAGATCCATGTACAAAATTGATAGGAGGGGCGGGGGGAGGGTCCAAAAATCGTGATCTAGGAAATTACCCAAGATTTTTCTAAACTATCACAGTCGGAAATCATCCATTTTCAAAGTTTGTGATGTTTAATCCCTTGTATCCAAAAGTTTCAATTATCAATATTAACAAGTCAACACTTTGTGGCTTAGCGCTTTTAGACATTTAATTTCAGTGCAATTCTTTTTTTGTAAAAATCAAAATATACTTAATAATATGAATATCTAAAATTCGGTGATGGTGATGGACCAAACCTCTGTAGAGTAAAAAAAGTAGTTCCAAATTTATTGAAAATATATTTCAGTTTGGGGTGACCCTTGACAGTTCTTGAGATTATTTCTGTCAAAAAGATTTACATTTAACAATGAGTTCAAAAAAATATACACCTGAACTTAAATAATCTATTGTTCTTACTATAAAAGTATATAAAACTAGGCTATTAATCTAAAATAAAATAATTGTAATAACATATAACCCTAAACACAGATTGTGCCCCTGTACTTTCAGGTTAATGTTCGGTGTACTGTACATGTACAAGGGTAAACTTATTCACAATCACTAAATTAGAATCACTATACTTAATAAATTTGTAAGGGGTAAAGAATCAAAAACAGGAAATTATGGTAATAACTGATTTCTGTATGAATGTACAATGTTTGTAGCATTCCCTCTACAATTTACGTAACTGTACATGCATTCTGTACATGTGTACAATGTTAGTAGCCTACCTTGTACATAACTGGGCAATGATATTCTCCTGCAGCGTTCTTCTGATAGTTGAGTTTAATCAGGCCTACGCAGTACAGTACATTTATAATCTTTACTAACTCATGATAAGTTTCAGGTTTGCAACCAAAACTTACGTTAGTCACAAATCGTTTTTAAGATTTTTTAAACGATTTAAAAATTATTTTTTAAGTTTTACAAAAAATAGGTGGATAAGTTTTTCGCTAGTTAATGGTGTAATTTTATCAATTAATTAATTAACCTTCTGCAGATGCAATGAAATCAAACTTTTAGAGCAAAATATTCTCAGACTTTAGTGGATTTTCTGTAAATCCAAAAATATAATAAAAAACAATTCGATGCTCAAAATGTCTATAACTATCTAAAACTCTTAGATTTTTTACCTTTTGAGTCGAGTGGTTTGCCTGTGACGGGATTGGCTTTGAATTTCTTCAAGTACGGGATAATATGAACCAGATCAAACACATTACCATCCTTAGACAAATATAGATATATGGGATAGTATGAACAAGATCAAACACATTACCATCCTTAGACAAATATAGATATATGGGATAATATGAACAAGATCAAACACATTACCATCCTTAGACAGATATAGACATATGGGATAATATGAACAAGATCAAACACATTACCATCCTTAGACAAATATAGATATATGGGATAATATGAACATAAGACATAAGACATAAGACAAATTTAGGCTGGCTCTTCGAACAAGATCAAACACATTACCATCCTTAGAAAAATATAGATATATGGATAATATATAGATATATGAGATAATATATAGATATATGGGATAATATAGATATATGAGATAATATATAGATATATGAGATAATATATAGATATATGGGATAATATATAGATATATGGGATAATATAGATATATGAGATAATATATAGATATATGAGATAATATATAGATATATGGGATAATATATAGATATATGGGATAATATAGATATATGAGATAATATATAGATATATGAGATAATATATAGATATATGGGATAATATATAGATATATGGGATAATATAGATATATGAGATAATATATAGATATATGAGATAATATATAGATATATGGGATAATATATAGATATATGGGATAATATAGATATATGAGATAATATATAGATATATGAGATAATAAAGATGTATGGAATAACATAAAGCGCCCATCTTCTATTTCAATTGTGAACATTTTCTCTTTTTATACATTATAAAACAAAAACAAACAACAAATTTCAGCCGTTTTGACGTTTATTGGATACAAACAATTGTAAACATGTTCTCTTTGTGTATATTGTAAAACAAAACAAAAAAACCCGCGGATTTGATAAAAAATTCTGTTGATTATCAAAATTTTCAAAAATTTCATGAATATAGAATATAGAATTTTGTTAGAGGCGAATTTTTGAAACTTCGATCATCCATAAAACTTCCATGGGGTCACGTGAGGTCCCGCAAAAAAATTGAGCCAGAATAAAGACTTTAGTTCCATCCTTAGACAAATTAACAATATAGAAACTTGACTTACATTGGCCTTAACCTAAACATCACCTTGAACTTAACCATGTTCTTTATCTTTACACTGGCCTTACGTTTATCATAACCATGATCTTTAATCTTTATCATAACTTGATTTAACTTATACTTATTAACATGATCTTTATTATAACATTGATCTTTACCTTGACATTTGCATTGATCCTGACCTTGACCTTGCCTTTACAATTATCTTTATATTGAAATTGATCCTAACCTAACTAAGGTTTCCATGACCGTGTCCAGAATATTAATCTTAACTTTGATTTTAACATTGGCCTTAATCTTGACCTTTACCATGACCTTGATCTTAATATTGGTCGCGACCTTGACCATAATAATATCGATCTCACAAATGACCTGAACATTAAGTTTTCTATGGCCTCGTCCAGGATATTAATCTAATTAACTTTGACCTTGAACTTGATCTTCACCTCCAACCTAGTACTTGATAGCGTTTCCGGTGAAATGGAAAACTCGTTTCGCGAAAAATTGTCAATTTACTCTAAAATAATTTTGTCGCCGAAAGTTTCGTATTTTTTTTGCATTCCTTGTGTAGAAAACAAAATGCGAAAATGTTTTTTTTTTCTCTCGAAATTTCGCATTTTTCTTGCGAAATTTCGCATTTTTGACCTTTACCTGGACCTTGACTTTGTCCATGAGTTTACCTCATCACTGTATGGATTCTCAAACCGTTGTAAACTCAGTGCACAATGATCAAACGGTAGACGTTTGAAATCAACCTAAAAAGAAAAAACAACTTTTATCTTGATAATTTTTATAGGGGCTGTAGGTGTAATTATGGGGAAGATATCGTCGTTTTTCTGGCTTTAAAAGTGTGCGTTTTCTCGCGAATTCTCCCGATCGTTTCTTTAGCAGGTCAGAGTAAGTCACTTTGAAGAGAAACCACAGTTAAAGCTAATCAATTTTCAAAGAGATGATAATTAAAATAGAATGCATTCTTGATGAGATAAAGTGGGTACTATTGTAAATCGGACATGTTTTTCTATAAATGGAGGTTGCGCCCCTTGAAAAAACGTCACTTTAAGCAAACTTTATATTTATAAGTGTATCTTCAACCACTATGCAAGTATAAAACATAAAATGGAGGAAATTAATAAAAAGACGCAATTTAAATATAAATAATCGAAGAGAAACAAAATTGTCCACGATAAAATTATGTTGTTGTTGTATGTTGATACTTTTTCCGATTTTCACCCTTTATCTTCACACTGCTATTATTTTTCGTGTCACACTTTCTTTTCCTGTTCCGACTTATCTTTCATTTCCTGTGGTAATATACACCGTAAAAATGTCTATTTTCATGTTTCATCTGGTTTTTTGGGGGTCAATTTATGACTTCCTGCCTTCCTGTTTAATATCTTACCTCATCAGGATCCGCCTTCCTGCCTGGCTTTTTCCCGCCAAAAAAATATTTCCACTCCTGCGTAGTCAGCCAGAGCTTATCTGCCTGATGCTGCTTGCGACCCATATTCTCTGAAAATCCGCGAATTTATTAAAAAAATTGCCTTACTACGTGTTTCAATTCATTCTTTATTAACGCTTAAAAATCACAATTTGTATAATCAATCAAGGATGTTTATTAATGTGTGAATCCCGATGGGAAATATTAATCAATTAATCATTTTAAAATCACAGCTCTTTTTTACTTAATATATATTAGTATATATCTTTTCAATTCCGGAAGTTTAACAATAAACGAAAATAATCAAATAAAAATCAAAATAATATTTCAAAACAGAACAAAATTGTAAATTAAGTCTCAAACATTTCTATATATTGCAAATGAACCCCCTTTATCTTATTTTATACATATTTTAAAGTAAATTCTTTTTACATAATAAAACCATTTTTTCCTCCGAAGTTATCCTGTGTCTTGTATTTTGATGTTTACTCCTCAAAGAGCATATTGACCAGATTCCGGTCAGCGCATTGCCCCTCCTCCAGCCGTTCAGGGGTTCCCCACTTGACCAGGGTAGGCACACTACCATATTACAAGAATTAAAAGGATTGTTCAGGATTTTTGTAATTTGGCGGGGGGAAAAAATATGAATAACATAAATAATAATATAATCTTTCATGGATTTTGAAATGCCAATTCCCGAAGACAGTTCTTTAAGCTAAAGCAAATCGCTTAAGTATCTAAGCAAATCGCCTATATAATCTTTCATGGATTTTGAAATGCCAATTCCCGAAGACAGTTCTTTAAGCTAAAGCAAATCGCTTAAGTATCTAAGCAAATCGCCTATATAATCTTTCATGGATTTTGAAATGCCAATTCCCGAAGACAGTTCTTTAAGCTAAAGCAAATCGCTTAAGTATCTAAGCAAATCGCCTATATAATCTTTCATGGATTTTGAAATGCCAATTCCCGAAGACAGTTCTTTAAGCTAAAGCAAATCGCTTAAGTATCTAAGCAAATCGCCTAAGTATCTCATATTCTTATAGGAAATATTTATAACTAAAGCTAAAGCTAGAGTCTGAAAACAAAGTAAATCTAATTTTTTACCTTTTCAGCTTAGTTTCTGTTTCTGTGCGGAAGATGCATTTAGGATCCTAAACAGTTTATTTAATTGCATATCTCCCGCATTCATTTAGGCAGAAAATAATCAAGGACAGAAAAAATAAATAAAGAAAAAACATAAAAAAAACGTCAACCCCATCTTCTTCAACTCCAATTACAACAGTGCAACCCCAAATAACCATCTTAAAGTTTGTTTTCTTATGTTGTAATAAATAAACAAATTATAGACTCCAGAATACAAAACTCAGTTTCAAGCAACCCTCCATGCAGATATGACAACGGCACCCTTGAAACTTTTATCGGATCAAACAATGCGGAAGATATTGATGTTGTTACAAGTTTAAAAGTGTTTAATTCTGAAAATTACTATCTGATTACTTTAGAAAAGAAACCAATTGAAAATTATCAGATTTCAAAATGATAAACGTTCATATCTAATTCATCCTTGATTATTATTATTATTATTATTAAAGGACAACCCATCATTCAATGAAATAGGGGTCGGCGCTCCTGACCGTAGAAACAAAGCTTTTGAGGGCACTGTTGCTATCTTTGCATGGAGGGTAAATTAATATTACGCTTACATTCCCCTAAAAACTTATTGCGCAAAAAAAGCCTGTCCAGTGTCCAGGCAATTATCTCACCTTCCAGAATGTTCTATCCCCCACCTCAACATACAGGAAGCTTGCTTCATCAGATACAGTCTTCAAACAATCCTTGGAAATCAATCAATCAAATCATGACTTGAATCAAATCATGTTGTCAGGGAGTCCTACTATCCACTCCTCAAACTTGAATCAAATCATGTTGTCAGGGAGTCCTACTATCCACTCCTCAAACTTGAATCAAATCATGTTGTCAGGGAGTCCTACTATCCACTTCTCAAACTTGAATCAAATCATGTTGTCAGGGAGTTCTACTATCCACTTCTCAAACTTGAAATGAATTTACTAGTTCAAGAATGAAGTTTTATAGCTTGTACCATATTAAGCTTGATATTGGTTCTATCAAATTACAAATTAGTACATTATCTATTTAAAGGTTCATGGAAAGTAAATTGAATTTTCATTTTTGTACTGCGGACATCCGACGTTATTGCCAGATTAATAATAATTAATAAAATAGATTCAATTTTGGTTTTCAACATAATAACATCCGTGAATTTATGAGTAAATAAATCAATAAATTATAAGAAAAAGATAAATAAGTAAATAAATTAATAAATAAATAAATAAATAAACAAATTATAGACTCCTCAAACACATTACCATCCTTAGAAAAATATAGATATATGGATAATATATAGATATATGAGATAATATATAGATATATGGGATAATATATAGATATATGGGATAATATAGATATATGAGATAATATATAGATATATAATAAATAAATAAATAAATAAACAAATGAATGAATGAATGAATGAATGAATGAATGAATGAATGAACCTGAATTACTGGATAAGCTACAACACAGTCTGGACACCAACTCTCTCCATTAGAATCCTTGGAGCCAGAGAACAGAACAAATACATCTTTATCACCCTGGAGAGAGATGAATTAATAAATCAAATAGATAGACAGGTATGTAGGTAAGTAAATTGATAGATTTATGCATAAATAAGTCAAATAGAGAAACATATAGGCAGATATATGGATAAATATACCAAGAAAATATAGATTGGTAGATATGAAAAAAATATCAAATAGATAAACAAGTAGATAGTTAAATTGAAAAGAAAGATAGACTCGTAGTTTATAAGGTTGTATACCTTATTCTACCGAGAAATGTCGTAAAAAGACATAAAAAGGTTTATTAATTAAACATGATCTCTATTCTAGGTAGATGCAAAATAGATCGGAAGAGTTATGCAAAATTACTGTTACGACTTTCTCTAGTTTTTATTTTAACATGAAAGGAATTGAGTTTTTCCAACAATCGCTGAAATTTTAGTCCCTATTTCTTTGCAACCCAATGCCGTAGACCTTAGATAAAGAATATCAATTTTTGCCACAAACTCTGATTTTCTTATTCATATGTCTTTGCAACCCAATGCCGTAGACCTTAGATAAAGAATATCAATTTTTGCCACAAACTCCGATTTTCTCATTCATATGTCTTTGCAACCCAATGTCTTAGACCTTAGTTATTTCGAATATGAATTCTTTAAGCTCAAATAAGCAAAGTTTAAAATATCAAAAGAACATCAGCTTTCAGAGATATAGGAATTAGAAATTTCGACTTTGTGGCTCAGACTCATTTCCTTTATTTAAGTTCAACTTCCGAACAAAAATGTTTTACCTTCGCTAATTCCTCAACTTTAGCCTTGAAAGCTTCATAACCCTCAACTTGGAACTTTTGAACCATTGTTCTGAAAAAAATAATGGCATTCTAAAAAATATAAAATTTCGTTGTTTTGAAAGAATGAATAGCAGTATTGGGACGGAGATAAAAATTGATTCTAGGATGGATTTAACGAATGGATGAATAAGTAAATGAATGAATGCTGATTGGAATATACGATGAATAATGAAAGCTATATGTGGAAAAAAAATGTTTTCGTTATGGAAAAATGAATGCTCAGTTTGAAAATGAATGAATGAATAAATGCTGAATAACAGTTGTGAAAATAGACTTGAAATATATCAAAATTAAAAATTAAGGATGAAAGGACACTGAATGAGTCAACTAGAGCTTGAGTTTTGATTGGGATCCTGGAGCTACAAGTTCGCGGTTCTAACCCTGTCCTCTAGATGGATAAACCTGATTTACATCATTTTTTGGGATTCTCATTTTTTGTTCAGGATTACCACATCATATTCAAAAATCTGCCGGGATTAGGTGAATGAATGAACAGACTAGAGCTTGAGTTTGGATCCCGGGGTAGAAAGACATGACTCCGCTGTTTTAACCCTCTCCTCTAGAGTATGGAAGGGTATACTAGGATCAAGTTTGGATTTCTTGAGAAGAAAATGTCGGAGAAATAATCTTAAACCCTCACGGTATAACTTCAGGTTTGGAGATTCAGATACAGCCTAGAATAAATCTTTATCGTTTTTTCTTCTTCTATTTTTATTATCCCTAAATCTTTGCAACCTGATGGTGTAAATATTTGACTTTTCAAACTCAGAATATTTGCTAAAAAATGGATAGTTTGAAATGTCAAATGTCTACCACATCAGATTGCAAAGATTTGATAAAGATTTTAATAATAAAGTTTGTGGCGCGTGTTCAGTCCAATTCTTGAATCTAAATTAATCCTGGACGCGCTTGCGCGCTGTTGTTCTTACCTGGAATATATTTTCCATGTCTTCTAGGTTCTCCATCAGCAGAACTTCACAGAGAATAGTTCGCAGTAGATGCACATTGGGTTTAGTCATCTCAGAGAATTCAATCACACGGAGTACAGATATAGACTGACTTCGCTCCCTAAATAGATAGATATATACATTTATAGATAAATAGATATAGACAGACAGATAGATAGATAGATACATAGACAGATAGAGAGGAATTAATCCTAGACATTGGTTGAAAAAAAATTATAGATAGATAGATAAATATATAGATAGATAGTTAATACTAGATAGATATATATAATAGAGTCATCATTATTATGTAACAAATATTTACAGTTTTCTTTATTGTTCTAATTTAGGTATTTTGTAGGAGATAAACACAATACTGCATAGTCATAGACAGAAGTTGATAAAAGACAAAGAAAAATGTGTAGAAATTAAGTGCTTAGAAGAGATACAAAGCTGGAAAAAAGTTTGAATAGAAGTTGGTTGATATATATAGATAGATGGATAACTTAGTATATTTCGGATAGTTTCTTCTTTTCTCTGCATCACGGAATTTAAAAATTAAAAACTGACAAAAATGTTTGATTACATTGATACATGGATAAATTGATAAGATAGTTGGATGCGATGGATATATAGATAAAAAGATAAATTAGATTCACCGAAATAGGGTCAAACGGCATTGGGGTAAACGACCTAAGGTCAAACGACAAACGGTCAAAAACGCAACAAAGGGTAATACGAAAAAGGGTAAAACGACATAAAGTCAAAAAGTGCGACAAACGGGAAAAATATCTTTTAAATTATTTTTTTTGGGTAATTTGAATTATTTTTTTGTTCATTAGAACTAGTAGCAGCAGCGCTCGGCCCCTAGCCTGTCCTAGCCGCAGTGTTCGGCCCATAAATTGTCTTACCCTAACCTAACCTTGAAAAAAATACATATTATGTTAAGTTTTGTATTCATTTGAACTACTAACCGCAGCGCTCGGCCCCGTAGCCTGTCCTAGCCGCAGCGCTCGGCTCAGAAACTGTCTTAAAATAATAAATCAACAAATTTTGACCCTTTGTCGCGTTTTGACCCTAGGTCGTTTGACCTTAAGTTGTTCGACCCTAAGTCGTTTGACCCTAAGTCGCTTGACCCTAAGTCGTTTGACCCTATGTCGGTGAACCAAAAACATCCATAGATAATGAGATAGATAGATAGATAGATAGATAGATAACCTGATTAAATGACTGATATATTTTGCCAGATTAATGAGCTGGCCTGATTTCAGTTCCCTGCTCTGTTTCATTTTATCCCAGATAGAAAACTGGTTTGAGATCTTGTACTTCCTAAAGTAAACAACACAATAAACAACAAGAACAGGTTTTACGATTATCTAATAAAAATAAACAACAAGAATAGATTTTACGAATTAACAAAATGATAATTCTTTTTAAAATTCAGAAATAATTAGTTTTTCATATATTAAGCAAATTAAGATCAGAATAAATCCCGCAGACCAGTTATTTTACAAAATATACAGTCAAACAATATAGAAAGTCTATAAACAAAAATGAATAATAAAAAACTACAATTGCAACGGGCTGAATAGGAAAACGAGTTAAAACCCAAAGACCAAAATAAACTAATTAACATACAAAAAATTGATAGATTTTAAAGTTTTTTATCTTACCTATCCATGGAAGAAAGCTTGATGGCAACTTGTGAATAGAATGGATTGAAAACTTTTTCCTAAAATAATTTTATAAAATTAACAAACTTTTTGTTAAACATTAAATCCTTTGATATTTCGATCTAGTTTATTTCAGTACTTTATGTTAATCTCACGTTTAAAATATAAATAAATAAAAAAGAATTTATCTCATAATAAGAAGAAAACTAAAGATTTTGAAATTTTTTCGATTTTTTTATTCATGCTTTATCAGAATCCCAGATATAATTTATTTCTAGTAAAATAAACTAGGACACAAAAAAAAATAAACTTAAAGGGAATGTCGATGTTATTTTAGGTAGCCAACCATACAATGGTACCCTTTATAAGATTCACAATGGTATCCTTAATAAGATTCACAATGTTATCCTTAATAAGATACACAATGGTATCCTTAATAAGATTCACAATGGTACCCTTTATAAGATTCACAATGGTATCCTTAATAAGATTCACAATGTTATCCTTAATAAGATTCACAATGGTATCCTTAATAAGATTCACAATGGTACCCTAACAAGATTCAGAATGATACCCTTAATAAGATTCACAATGGTATCCTTAATAAGATTCACAATGGTACCCTTAATAAGATACACAATGGTATCCTTAATAAGATTCACAATGGTATCCTTAATAAGATTCACAATGTTACCCTTAATAAGATTCACAATGGTATCCTTAATAAGATTCACAATGGTATCCTTACTAAGGTTCACAATGGTATCCTTAATAAGATTCACAATGTAACCCTTAATAAGATTCACAATGATACCCTTAATAAGATTCACAATGAAACCCTTAATAAGATACACAATGGTACCTTTAATAAGATTCACAATTTTACCATTAATAAGATTCACAATGGTATCCTTAATAATATTCACAATGGTATCCTTAATAAGATTCACAATGGTATCCTTAATAATATTCACAATGGTATCCTTAATAAGATTCACAATGATACCCTGAATAAGATTCACAACGGTACTCTTAATAAGATTCACAATGATACCCTTAATAAGATTCAGAATGATACCCTTAATAAGATTAACAATGATACCCTCAATAAGATTCACAATTTATCAATTTTTAGGTGGAGAAAAAAAAAGGATATTTCTGTCATGTATACTCGATCAAAAGTTTAAGGGTATCCTTGTCAACCGGTCATTAAACTCTCTTCAGCTGGAGGGTCACTTGAAATAAAGCCGTTATTACGTTAAATGAATATTATATATGCTAAAACCTGCATAGCTGAATCTAGAAGAACAAACATCACATCTCTCTCCATCTGATTCTTGGTGCCAAGCTTTATTAACCTAATCAATCAATTAATCAAACAAATTGATCGTTTAATATGATCCTATAAACCAAATCTAATCGATCTATCAATTAACCTGTTCTGATAATCATTAAATCAATTTCTAACAAAATATTGATGGTTTAAAACCCATAAGGTCAACAAATCACTAGCACTGACCTCTCTGTGGCCTCTATATAGTCCTCTGAGGACATGATCAAGCAGAAAATGTTCTTCCTCTGCTCTGTATTCATTCTCATCTTCTTTGCTAGCTGGAGGAGCTGGGTGCTAAACTCCTCCTTCTTCAAGGGGTATATATTTTTAAAACTACACCCCCCCACCGAGAGAATGATTTTCAACAAATAATCTCTCCATGCAATGCAATGAGGAAAAAGAAATTAGACAATAATTGGGGAGTTTGTTCAACCTGTATGATACTTTTATTTAAAAATTAATCCCCCCCTCTTATTTCAATTTATTATCTATTTAAAGTGACCCTCCATGCTAAAATGGCAATGCCCCCGATTCACAACGGTACCCTTGAAACCTTTATCTGATCATTAAAGTGGAAGATATTGTCGTTTAACTAAATTGAAAGTTGTTTAATTTTTTTAAAAATTTCTATAAGCATTCGTGCAATAGAAATGCGCACGAGAAATCACTGTTGAATACAATCAGTTCACAAAATTATAACTAATTCATACTTGATCAGACATAGATTTTAGGGGTAGAGTTGTGAATCTGGCATTGCCATCTTTGCATAAAAGGTCCATTAAAATTATGCTTACAGTCCCTATATTCAGTGGAAAAAAAAGATTTCAAAAGTTGGAGGCGTGGGGAAAAAAGTATGTTTAAATAAAATATATATAATCCTGCCTTCTTCCCCTGGTCCCCCCCCTGGGGTTCCTCTGCCCCTCCTCTCTTCTCTCCAACCAGGTTCCCAGCATAGAAGGAACCTACAATCCACCATCTTCCCTTAGTATCCGCATCCTAGAGAGATAGATTAATAGACAGATAGATAGATAGAAAGACACATACAGACATAGATAGATAGATAGATGCATAGATAGATATATAGATAGACATACAGTCAGATAGATAGATAAATAAATAGATAGAAAGATATAAAGAAAGATAGATAGATAATAGATGGATAGATAGGTAAATAGTTGATAGACAGATAGACAGAAAGATAAATGGTTACGTACATAGATGAATATATATCGAAAGACAGACAAACAGACAGAAAGACAGACAGACAGACAGACAGACAGACAGACAGACAGACAGACAGACAGACAGGCAGACAGACAGAAATACAGATAGACAGATAGGCAGAGACTGAAAAAATATTAATTGGAAAGTTTTCAAATCCTCACCTCCAGATCTTTAAGACCGATCTTAAGCTCGGTAACAAAGTTTCCTTCTCTGATATGGGATTTTAATCCCTTTCTCAGATGATCCAGGTGCGAGGGATCGTAGTTGGGGATCTATCAATGCAATCACGATCACTTTTTGCATAATAATAGGATTTTTGGCGACCTTGTGAGAACTGTAAGTGTGATCTCGAGTGATCCTTGATGCAAAGATGGCAATGCCCTATTCCCGATGGAACCCTTTAAACCTTTATCTGATCAATAATGTTGAAGATATTGTCGTTTTTCAAATTCAAGAGGTATTTAATTCGGACAATTCCTAAACGTTTTACTACAAGTAGAAACCACTTAAGGAACCAAAACAGAAACTAATAAGTTTTCAAAATAATAAACATTGATATCTAATTCATACTTGATCAGACAAAGATTTCAAGGGTACCGTTGTAATAAGGGCATTGCCATCTTTATATGGAGGGTCACTTGAAATAAAGCCGTTATTACGTTAAATGAATATTATATATGCTAAAACCNGGAGGGGGGGGGTTGATAAACATTTTAAATGTGAATTGTGACGTCAGTGTTCCTTATTGACATTGTTGTTCTTTACAGCGAGCAGTACATCAAGCATAAACTGTACACGGGAATTATCCTCACCTCCTGCAGTACATTAGTGAGTTATTTATCTGCAGTACATTAGAGGGATGAATGTACTAATTGGTACTAATTTTACTGAGAGAAAACAATATGTCTGTGTAAAGAGCTGAACACTGGAGATTGGACAAGTATATTTAAGTTTTTAGATAAACGGAATTTAATGGAATTGTAATATTTAAGTTTTTAGATAAACGGAATTTAATGGAATTGTAGCATTCCAAAAATAAAGGAAAGAATATTTAAAAGAACGGATAAATTAACATTTAACATATGAAAGATTTATTAATAATTCAATAAAAGCTACAAATTGATACCTGTTGAAACTGTTGCCTTGTTCTGTATTTTTAAAATTAAATTTTTCATTTCAAGCGGATCATCCTTCCTAAACATAAAGTTGTTGAACTAAGTTTCCAAATTAAAGAACATTTTTCTTATCACTAACCTAAGTATGAATCCCGCACTCCGAAGCGCAATAAGAATCAATTCAATATCCTGAAACATCAAGGTTTAAGGATACTGTGACGTCATATCAGATGACTTTAACCATTAAACATTGTCCCTTTAAAGGGACTGTAAGCGTAATTTCAATACAAAGTTGGCAATGTCTGATTAACAACGGTACCCTTGAAAGCTTTGTCTGATCAATTATAAACTAGATATCAAGTTTTTGTTTCTTTAAATTGTTAATGTCATTTGCGGTTTCTCAACAGAAGCGACTAGTGCATTTCTTGTTAAAAGAAGCAATGGAGAAACTTACAGAAATAATCACTTTTCGAGTCAGAAAAACGACAGCTTCTTCCAGATATTTGATCAAATGAAGGTTTCCAGGGTATCGTTTAAAATCGGACATTGCCATCTTTGCATGTAGGGTCCCTCAAATTACGCATACAGTCTTTTAATAGAGAAAAAGGGATTCGTCCATGGATTCGTCATTTTTCTTCCTGGTTCCATGTTTTGCATTGCATATGTCCAGGAGGATGGTGTATCTTCCGACCTACGCACATCCGCTATACTGCCCTTCCGAACTACTAGAACGTGGTTTTACAACTGATAGTTGGACTTGTAGCCGCAGCGCCCGGCCCCCTAGCCTGTCCTAGCCTCGTCGATCGGCCCCTAGCCTGTCCTAATCGAAGCGCTAGGCTCAGAAATTGTCTTAACCTAACCTAACCCTCAAATAATATAAAATAAACAGCTGTCGTAAATCCGATATTGCAGTAGGTCGGAAAGTTAGTAGGTCAGAAGTTCAGTTTGGGTGATATTGCGTATATAGACGATGTAACATTACCGTCCTGGGGGGCCCACAATGGGGTCTCTTGCAGATTTCACTTCCTTATGATTCCTTATGGAGAAACCGCAATGAAAAGTTATTGATTTTCGGAGGATAGACGTTTAAATGGTTAGTATCATTGAAAATTGGTCGAAAATGATTAAAAATAAGAATAGGTCGGCAACATCGTAGGAGGGGGGAGGGGGGGGGGGGTTCTATTCACCTTAGTTTTGAAGCTGTCGGCCAGCTTGTTCAGAATTTCGAAAAGAAATTTTGATGAAATCATTCTAAAGTTGAAAATGTAGGAGAGAAGGAGAATTATGTTGTCCAATTCTTTACCACTCTCACCAGTCAGGTCGGTGGAACTATCACAATCAATCAATCAATAAATCAATAAATCAATAAATCAATAAATCAATCAATCAATCAATCAACCGATCAATCGTCAATTAATCAAGAAATCAATCCATTCACACCAATTCAATCCATTGAATCATTTGATCAATCAATCAATGCCTAAATCTCTTAATTAATCAACCAGAGACGTAACTTTTCTATTTTAAATCTTTGGATTAAGCGCTCTGCAGTTTCTTTCCCCCCTCGACGCTTCTTTGAAACATTCCTTTATTCATCAAGAGGAGGAAAGCCAACCACATCAGTTCCATGTCCGAGCCACATTCTCCTCATTTTCTCGTCCGAGCCACCTCGAAATCCTCGTCCTTTCCCCTCGACGCTTGATCTAGACACTATAATGAAACAACTAACAAAAAATATTTAAAAAATCCTAAAAATGCGCTAATTGTTGAGTTGATTGTATTCCTGTATTTATTATTGAAAGCTCTGACAAATTCCTCGATAAAATGAGCACCAACCTTAACAGTTCATAACAATTAAACAGAGACCAAATTTAATGAATTGGAGAGGTCGCTGAACTACCTACCGCCGGTTCAAATCCTGAATCATCGATTCACTCTTCAATTATTAACCTAAGTTATCATGGATGTTTAACGAATCGTTGATTCAGGATTTAAACTGGTGGTATGTAGTTCAACGATTTATTGCAACTCGTTAAATCTGATCCCAGAAGCAATATATCTAACTGTGTACTGCACAAATAAAAAATCTAATTCAATTGATAAAAATAAACCAAAAATAATTAGACTTGCTTTTTTTTGTGTTCTAAAATGAATCAAGATAAATGATTTGTGTCCTGTGTCCTATTTCCTGTTCTGTCCTATGTCCTGTTCTGTCCTTGACCCGTCCTGTCCTGTCCTGTCCTGTCCTGTCCTGTCCTTTCCTGTCCTGTCCTTTCCTGTCCTGTCCTGTCCTGTCCTGTCCTGTCCTGTCCTGTCCTGTCCTGTCCTGTCCTGTCCTGTCCTGTCTCCCTATCCTACCTCTGATCCAATGTTTGCGTGTAGTATAGTGATTAGCATGATGTACTCCATCACGAGTCTCTCCGGGGTAAGGACTGGGGACACGGTGGCCAGATAGATAAGGTTGTACAGGGTCTGGTTCATGTCATTCCTTGATAAATACATAAATACAAGATATATGTTTGGGGGTTAGGATAAATACAGTATACCAGTACGTACAGTGTACACTGTACCGTGTAATTTTAATGTACTGTTTTCCTACCTGGAATTACTGCTGTACATGTTTTCTATCTGTACTGCAATGCTGTGCATATTAGATTCAGCAAGTCTGTTCAAATTTCCCTGGTAGAAAAATTTCAATCAATCCATCATCAATCAAACACGTAATCACGTAATCAATTTATAACTCAATCCATACAATTAATCACGTAATCAATCAAATAATCAGTTTTAATAAGGCAAATAAATTGATGACAAAAATTAATAAATTTCATTCTTGATTAAAATTAATTATTAATCAGTTTAACAATACATTAACAATACAACAATACGACCCCTAACCTTTAATTGTTTGGCGAGTCGTTCTAGTTCTTTTTTCTTGTCCATCGCAGCTGCCGCTTTTCTCATGGCCGGCGGGATATATTTGCCACCAGCGGAGACCGCCGATTCACCATTTCCGGTTTGAGTGTTGGCCGAATCTGTATTCTACAGAAAATATAAAAATATATTTAAATTCAATAAAAAAATGAAAAATTTGTATTCAATTTTCCATGTCAATTACAGTGTTAAGCGTACTTTTTAAAGTTCATCCATATTAGATATTTCGTGGGTTGGGGTGGGGATTGTGTGGTGTGGGGAATGTTTTGTGGGGTGGGGAGTGTGTGACACCAGTTCTCTTTAGCTCACTGAAGTTAAGCACACTTTTCCACAGCCAGTAACTGGATTGGTGTCCAGACTGGTGTTCACGGGTTCGATTCCCGTTCTCCACACAAACCTGTGGTTTCAAAAACATCTGAAGCCGATATCTGGTTAAGCACTTATGCACACGGGACAAATGTAGGAGGAAAGAGAGGCGACTGTCAACAACTCTCGCAGTGAAAGGGTGTGTGCTAACTACTCAAAAAGAAAGTAGCTTTAAGTGAATTGATCCAAGTGAATGATGATGAAAAGAGGAAATGAGAACAAGCATGGAGAGTATGGTTGCCAGCTGTAGGTACCTGGAGGTATCCAATCCGGGCTTACAAATGATAGGGAGCAATGAGTGTAATGTTTCCTGTCTGTAATTTCAGTATATCAGAAAAATTCCTGCACTCTACTATTATCAGGCCTAAGAAGCCCTTAGGCAGCTGAAATCTTGTCAACCATCTTCTCGGTATGAATGAAGCGTGCATTGATGAATGTGCTGCCAGATTACAACCCCTAGTAGATCAATATAAACCCAAACAATACCAAACTTTCGCAATAGAAAAATTCAGAGATCGTAACAACCCGATTATATCCTGGTGACAAAAAAATCTCATTGAAAAAAAAATATTAAATATTAATAATTCATCAATAAACAATACATAAAAATTAACAAATCAATATCACGAAAATACAGGATGAAAATCTTATAAAATATTTACCTTAATAATGCCTCCATCTTTGCTTCGTTTCCTCCCGTAGATATCTTCCCATTCTCCTCCTCCTCCTCCTTCTTCGTCTTCTACTTCTTCTTCTCCTTGATCATCATTCTCATCTTCGTCTTCTTCCTCCTCGGTGTGATTATCTTCAATTTCCTCATCTCCACTTTCCTCACCTTCCTCTTCCATTTCTTCATCTTTAGCTTGTTCATCATCTTCATGATCATTCTCCTCGTCACTACTGAGCATAGCAGATGCAATTGGATCATCATCATCATTATCATCTTCACTCTTTCCTCCCATCTCATCCTCAGATTCTTCTAGATTTTCGACACTATTAATATCTTTATCATCGTCAAGATTCTTTCTCATCATACAGAACATAAGGAAATGGAATCTGCAGGAGACCCAAATGTGGAGTTCCAAGACCGCCGCCAAGTGTGGGAAAATATTCTAGGGCTTTTTGATTCAATTCAATTTAAGAATTTTTACATTTTTTTGTCATAAGATTATCATATTATATTTGAGCCCGAATAACCATGACGTCCAATTTAATCATGTTTTTAAAGCATTTACCTATTCCTTCAAAAGTTACGGCTCCAGTGGGTCCAAGCAAATAATCCAGTCCATCCTCCTACAAATAAGGTTTCAAATTAAATTGCTTAGAATTCGGATCCGGATTCGTTGGATCCGCAAGATTTTGGTTTCCTGGATCCGGATCCGCAAAAATATGCGGGATCCGGATGCAAGGGGCAAAATATCAACCAAAAGCTGAAACAAAAAAAAAATTTACTCTCAAAAACCAAATCTGAACTACTGAAAAAAGAGAGATTATAAAAATTTCCTGATTCCTAAATGGTTTATCAAGGTTTAGATAAGCCAAAAAAAAGAAAAAAAATTTGATAATTCTCATTTTAAAGAAATAACCTGGATCCGGATCCGGATAATTTTTTTTCAAGTGCAGATTCAGGATCCGGATCCGCATCAATATTAAATGGATCCTAAGCACTGTTTATAAAGAATACGTTGACAAAAATTCGATTTCAGTGATTACTGGTGATTACTGGTACCCTCAAACTAGAAGTTATTGTAAATGATGTCAAGCCAAGTTGAATATTTCAAAAATTGTTTGAAAATTCCTGAAAGAACATTTAATGTAATTATTGTGACATTTTTACATTTGTTTAATTTATAAATTTTTGCAACCTGAGGTCAGCTGGATCTTTTGTGTGAAGAATAGCTTCTCGATATCCAATGTGGACACTTTTAATTTAAGGAGACTTGATTGATTCATTAATTAAAGTTATCACTTCACTGTATGACCACCATGGGATATCGCAGAGGAATTAAATTAATCCTTAGATCTGTATAAGATGGAGATCAAATGCTTGATCCTGAGATTCACAAGTTCCAATCTCTAATGGTGGAAACCTTTGATATAATTAAACTTTGGCAATTAGATCTGAGCTGGAAACTTTAGAATGGTAGATATCGGGATTATGCTTAATCCAGTCTTTTTATTAATCTCCAGATTAAATATTGCTTGTTTTCCTCATGAATTTAATCTCCAGATAAGTCAACAGATCGGGATTAAGGATATCCCATCAGTTTTCAGCTCTGGCAGAATTTTTAGTTTGAAATATCATAGGTCCAAGTTGGATAAAATAAGAGTTCGAATTTTCAGTTCCAATCCTTTAGGGGTGTCTTTATCGAACTCTTTTAAACTTTTACCTGAAAACTTTTTGGTAGATTTTTAGATTTTCGTTTCTTGAGTCCAAGTTGCTTCTCCAGCTTTTTAATATTCTTCTCTTCTTCCTACTCTCATCAATTGCAATTAAATCTTTGCAATCGTTAGGAAACTAAATTTATGTAACAAAAATAAATGTTGAATTCTTTTAAAACTGAAATAATTCCATTATTTTCTAAAAATCAGTAGTAGATACCAGAGGAGCCTCAATTCTACACCAGGGGTGTATACTTTCTCGAGAATTTATTTTTCTTACCCCCCCCCCCTCCCCCTTTTTTGAAAATCATTTTTCCCCCCAAAAGTAATAATTTTTTTTTAGGGTTTTATTCACTAAATTGAGAAAAATAAATATTTTTTAAGGAATATCAAAGAAATTTTGGGAAAAAAATTATCAAACAGAATGAAAAAGTTGTCTCAATATTATTGAAATGTTAGAAGAAAACGAAAAACAGGTGATAGCTTGTTTTGACATAAACTAATGTTTAATTTGAAGAAACAACCTGTGTATATTGTAAAATATGAAATACATAATAAAACTTTTTTCTGAAAAAATATTGTTCCACAATAACAATATGAATCGTATTCAAAAATGTATCAACAAAAATGACATCTAACGCTATAAAAACAATGGTCAGGAAAAAAACAAATAATCAACAATTGCTGGGTTTGCGGAACTCATTTTCTTTAAAAATCTTGTTCTCAAAAACAACATGAATCTTATTCATAAATGTTAGCACCGAAATAAAGTAAAAAATGAATCCACAATTGCCTGGTTTGCAAGTAAAAGTTGTTGATTTCGCTGCTTTCTCTGTTCTTTAGCTAGAAAAGGATAAAATTAAATGTTTTTTTTAAATGAAATCTTCTCATTTGATAATTTTGGACACAACCGATGCAAATACAGGGAATGTAACAGCAAAAAAATATTAGTAAGGTACATATATTATAACATCCTCAGAATTTTCAAACCCCGCTTAGCAGTGACTTTATATTTCCAACCTAACCGCCTCACCCCTCCCCTCTCTCTGGTCTCCTACCTAATCTCTTGACATGTCTCGCCTTCTGCTTCTCTTGATCCAGTCTATTCTGTTCCTTCTTCATTCGCTTCAGCTCCAACGCCGCCTCCTTTTCCTCCGCCGTTTCCGCCTTCTTGAATTTCTTAACCATAAACTCCGCCTTGGACACCTTCTTCGCCTTCCGCTTCTCCGCCCTTTCAAGTTTTCGTTTTAAGATAGTCGGCCGTTTTTTCACTCCACCCGTATCGGGCTTTTTCCCCTTTTTCTTAAATTTTGACATTTTTCTCTGAAATGTTTAGGTTAAGCACTAAGCTTTTGTACAGGATAATATCATTTGTATAAATGGTTTCATTTTGCTTTAATTTAATTCTTATTATATGTACATACATTCTACCAAGGATTTAATGCAAGGAAAGTTATTTCAGAGGTGTACGCATCTTTTTGTCTGCTGTGTACTGTCACTGGGCGGTAATGAAACACAAGACGGATGTCGAAGCCTGACATGGGATCCATCTTTCAAATAAAAAATCAATGAAATATTCTGGTCTTAGGAAACGATTATGTGAATTATCAAAATTATCAAAGTTCAATGCTTTTAACCTCCTCGGATACTAAATGAACACTGATGCATCTATTCTTGTTTACAAATTCCGCCCAGAGAGAACTGGTTTCAATATGTAATAATAATTATAAGATCTGAAAAGGAACCCGACATGGAACCCTCAGACCGCCCTCAGGGTGCAGAGCATCAACATGCAGTCTGCAGTCTGGAGAGTGTCCAGAACTGCAATTAACTTTCCTTGCATTACATTCTTGCATTCTACAAGATTTAAGCACGCATTAAGTAACATTTAAACTTTATAAAAATCAAATAATGTATCTATAGATTTAGTGAAAATGATAATTACAGAGTTTTAAAAGTAGTAAAATAACGGAATGCTTTATTTATCGACTTGATAAGGATTGTTTTAACCAAAACGGGCAACAGACGCGTGATAAATTAAAAATAATTAAAAAATTGAGGTAAGGAGATTGGTTTACTAAAGAATTTTTGATAAAAACATGATTACAAAATTACAATTTTTATATTTCATCCGTAATAATTTTTGGCAGTTTTTATTTTTATTTTAACATTCAAGTTCGTTGTCAACAAAGCTGCATAATAATATTTGTATTCAGATAATCCTTAGGCACTTTAAATTCTGCATCAAACTGTACTTAACTTAAAACAACAAAATGGTCGACATAATACTGTACTGTACTGTACAGTACTGTACTGTACTGTACTGTACTGTACTGTACTGTACTGTACTGTACTGTAATTGAAGACATCAAATAAAAGTGTATACTGTACACTTACAGTTTATAATGTACATGTGTAGAAATGCTTCAAACTAATGTACACGTGTACACTGTACAGTCAATTGTACTCCATTACCCCCAAAGCGTATTCTTGGACCCCATCAGATCTCGTCTAGTCGAATATACTTCTCAGTGGTAGAATCTTCAACTATCATTTCAATGCCGTCTTTGTCCTAAAATATTGTTAAATTAGAAAATCATTTAGAAATTTTTATTTTATCCTCAATTAAAAAATCATCGGCTTTCTAACTGAAATTATTGATCGTGATCAGAGAAATTTGTATGTTTTCTATATACATCAGCCAAAATGTAAGTCCTGATCTGTCTGGAATTTCCAAATATAACATTATCCTTAGAATGAAACTTACCCTGGAAAACAGCTTACCCCTTTGGAATAAATCTTATCCCTAGTATAAAGCTTACCCCTGGAAAACAGCTTATCCTTTGGAATTAATCTTATCCCTAGAATAAAGCTTACCCCTGGAAAACAGCTTACCCCTTTGGAATGAATCTTATCCCTAGAATAAAGCTTACCCCTGGAAAACAGCTTACCCCTTTGGAATGAATCTTATCCCTAGAATAAAGCTTACCTCTGGAAAACAGCTTACCCCTTTGGAATGAATCTTATACCTAGAATAAAGCTTACCCCTGGAAAACAGCTTACCCCTTTGGAATGAATCTTATCCCTAGAATAAAGCTTACCCCTGGAAAACAGTTTATCCCTTTGGAATACATCTTATCCCTAGAAAAAAAAAACTTACCCCTGGAGAACAGCTTATCCCTTTGGAAAGAATCTTATCCCTAGAATAAAGCTTACCCCTGGAAAACAGCTTATCCCTTTGGAATGAATCTTATCCCTAGAATAAAACTTACCCTGGAAAACAGCTTTCCCCTTTGGAATAAATCTTATCCCTAGCATAAAACTTACCCTGGAAAACAGCTTACCCCTTTGGAATAAATCTTATCCCTAGTATAAAGCTTACCCCTGGAAAACAGCTTAACCTTTGGAATGAATCTTATCCCTAGAATAAAGCTTACCCCTGGAAAACAGCTTATCCCTTTGGAATGAATCTTATCTCTAGCATAAAGCTTACCCTGGAAAACAGCTTACCCCTTTGGAATAAATCTTATCCCTAGCATAAAACTTACCCTGGAAAACAGCTTACCCCTTTGGAATACATCTTATCCCTAGCATAAAACTTACCCCTGGAGAACAGCTTATCCCTTTGGAATGAATCTTATCTCTAGCCTAAAGCTTACCCTGGAAAACAGCTTACCCCTTTGGAATAAATCTTATCCCTAGCATAAAACTTACCCTGGAAAACAGCTTACCCCTTTGGAATACATCTTATCCCTAGCATAAAACTTACCCCTGGAGAACAGCTTATCCCTTTGGAATGAATCTTATCCTTAGCATAAAACTTACCCCTGGAGAACAGCTTATCCCTTTGGAATGAATCTTATCCCTAGAATAAAACTTACCCCTATGAGTTTCCGGATGGAATTTGAATCCGGAATAATTGTGTTATCTTCGTCTCTGGACGCTGCAGTAAAAAATAAAATAAATAATTTGAATAACAGAAGTGAAGTACAAAATTCTTTATGAAGAAATTTAAAATGATAAACAACAGGATTAAGTTAAGCAATTGAGAGAATTGTTTTCTTCAAAAATTAGTAAAAATGTGCTTTATAGTGTCAAGTCAGTTAGATTTTTTTTTAATAAATCAATTAAAGAATAAATGAATAAACGAATAATAGATCAATAAATTAATGAATTTGTGAATGAATGAAAGGATTATTAAAAGGATGAATGGATGAATGAATGAATGAATACCTATGACGTAAACAGTTTCTGCTTGACGAGGAATTACAACAGTTTGTTGTCCTCTTCCTAAACAAAAACAAAAACAATAACAATAACAATAACAATAACAATAACAATAACAATAACAATAACAATAACAATAACAATAACAATAACAGTGAAAATAACAATAACAATAACAATAACAGTAAAAGTAACAGTCAGTAACAGTAACAGTAACAGTAAAAGTAAAAATAACAATAACAATAACAATAACAATAACAGTAACAGTAAAAATAACAATAACAATAACAATAACAATAACAATAACAATATAAAAAAATATATATTACTGACCTCTCTTTGGATTTACAACAACAAGCTTTTGTCCATCTTCATCTTCAACCTAAATACACTTAACTAATCAATCAAATCAAATCAAATCCTGCAACTCAGAACATTTATTTTCGTTATTACTTTGTTAAGGAAATAATAACGAAAGCATAAAACCATGGATGAGTAAAAAATGGACGAATAATGTATGAAAGGATGAATGAAAGGATGAATAAAAGGATAAATGAAGCGATGAATAAAGCCTAAAGGATAAATGAAAGAATGAATGAAAGGATGAATGAAAGGATGAATGAAAGGATAAATGAAAGAATGAATGAAAGGATGAATAAAAGGATAAATGAAGGGATGAATAAAGGAAGAATGAAAGGATGAATGAAAGGATGAATGAAAGGATGAATGAAAGGATGAATGAAAGCATGAATGAAAGGATGAATGAAAGGATAAATAAAAGGATAAATGAAGGGATGAATTAAGGATAAATGAAATGATGAATGAAAGGATGAATGAAAGGATGGATGAAAGGATGAATGAATGAATATCTACAAGTTGTAGAAAAAAAAACCAAGAAAAAAGAAAAGAAAAAACTTAAAACGCCATAGATAAATAACATAAACATAATCGTTTAATTGATACAATAAAATCATCCCCTTGTGGATGAAGAGAATCCAGAAAATCAAATAAAACCAGGCTGTTGTCCCCCCCCCAGACTTGAAAATTAAAATAGCCACATTGTAAGAGATATATATTAAAGATAAAAAATGCATAAACTCCATGGTTACCACGGTTAAGTAAAAAATCTACACATAATGAATGAATGAATGAATTAAGGAGTAAATATCAACTCAGAAAAAGCATGAATGAATAAATATCTTAATTTAATAAAATGAGTCATCGTAGAAAAAAACTGTAGCTAACAGAAATTAGCGCTTTACCAGCATTTGTTCTCCTGGAGCAACAATCTCATGTCCTTCGACCATCTCTGCATATGTACCATCCTCCAGCTGTACATAGTGAGATGTACTTTCCTCAATATCTTCTTCTAAACAGTATAATTGTACAATGTACAGTATGTACATTATGGGATGTAATCTTCTTCTTCATCCTTATATTGAATTTCTTATTCTTTACGAATTTGTTCGCAGATTTCTAAAAATTCTTCAAATGTCGTCGTCTTTTCAATGAAATTTACAGAAAATATTTGTGAACAATGAAAGATTACAGAAACTAATAGCTGAATAAGAATACTTTTTTTCTATGATAAAGAGGTAATTTTTATTTTCTCAATCTATTGTAGAAATTTGTTACATTTTTTGTCGTTACTTAATAATTTTTAAAAATCGATTCTTAAAACGAAACCACCCAAATGGATGATTTTAAAAGTCGACTTTGCGCTCAAATTCAGTAATTATACATCATTAAAACGGTTTATATGTCGCAAATGAATCCAAAAAATTGCCTTCACAATACTACATTCTCAGTTCAACTACCATTCATTGCCAGTCAGTCCCTTTAAACGAGGTTAAATAATCTTAATGTAACTTTGTGACTTGACAAGGACATGCCCTTCTTTAATTGGATGGGCACTTGAATTTACAAGGACAGTCTGTTTAAATATTCATTTTTACCTTCGCTTTCTCTTCGTTCTCTTTTCCTTCCCTCCTTCTCTGCTCCTTCCTTCCCTGTTCTGCTGTTCAGGTGCATCAGGTGCTCCTTCTAAAGAAGAAAGGAGGTTTTAATTGTTTTGAAATATCAAGGAAAACCAAGAAACTTTTTTCGCCCTGTTACAATAAGCAATAAAAATAAACAAATTTTGCGGATTTTTCTGCTTTTATTGGTGGATTTCTAAAAGATGTTAAAATCGTATATTTGTCAATTTCTTTTTGAGTTTAGATCGGTCCTAAACCTTCAAGAACTGGGTTATGAGATGCACAATAAAATTGGGCCCAATTAGTTTAGTTGTTAGAATGTTATATGGTAAGTATTCACCCCCCCCCCCCCATTATTTAGAATTTTTTGGTGAAAGATCCCACGAAATTTTCATTGGCATTATTTACAATCTCAATGAATATTTAAATTATCCCTTCTAAAATATTCTAAGATCTGAAGAAATATTTAAAACAATTCCTGCACAGAGCTATGCAAATGAAGAAAAACTGATTTAAACAAATAAACCACCGCGCTCTTATAATTATGAAACATACTTTTGATTTTTTACTTTAAATTCTCTAGGAAAAATATTTTAACGATCCCTTACAATATTTTGTCATTGCTAAATTTTTCTAACCTTGATATGAAGTTTAAGATCTATATGAGAGGAAAAGGATTTCCAGCAGTGGAGGCAGAGGAATGGAGTCTCTCCTGATCAATCAATCAATCAATCAATTGTCAATCTTTCATCAATCAATCAATCAAGTACTAATTAAACTTGTAAATGACTGTTTATGTCAATTATTTAATAAATAAATAAATAAATAAAAAATCAATTAATTTATAAAAGAACTTACTATTAACATTAAACATTTTTCCGATTTTTAACCAAGAAATTTTTTCGTTAATCGTTAATCAAACGTCTTTATCTAATACAATTACAAATACAACTGAAGTATAAGTGTGACTGGCAAAATAAGAATTTAAATTTCTTTTTGAAATTTTTGAAATTTTCATTTACCTGTATGAGTAATTAAATGATGTTTCAAGCCAATAGGAACCTTAAATATTGAACAAAATTAAATTTGTAAATTTTTTGATTCCCTTTTCTGGAGAAATAAGAAAATTGGACATCAAAAGGAAAGTTTTTTTCCCATTTGATACTTCCTACACATAAACTTCTTTATTTTCCTCAAAAACATATCTAACATTTATGGGGGGGGGGGTGAATAATTTTTAAAGAAGATATAAAATATAACCCTGATTAAACAATTTCAAACTTTTGATAACAAAAATAACTTAGACCTTTCTTAGAATCTAAATATGCGTTAAAAAAATGGATTTGTACCTTAAAAGTAGTATCGCACTCGGGACAGATCTTGTTTCGCGCATTTCCCTGCAATAGACAATTAATAAAATAAATAAATGTTAACATCAGCGGCTACTGTGAAGTTTTTAGGAAGTAGGAAGAGACGGAGAGTAACCTGGATGTGTCGCAATTTACTTTATTGACAAAAACCATGTTTTAGGCTTAGAGAATGTTTACGGTTTTGGTTGAACATGTTTATTATTGGTTCAAAAGTTGTTTTGATCCAATGTAAATATGTTCAGAATCTCAAGAAATGGTGTAGTTCTATTTGCTTAAGTTATAACAAACAGTTCTCTAAGTTTAATATTTTCAGATAATTATAAAGGCCAAGATATCATAAATTAACCAATCTGAGTTTCCCAATTCTAGTTAAACTATTTTAGTTTATTTACTAATTACTGTTACCCTGACATAAAATAGAAGACTCAAATAGAATAGACAAAGTGGAGAGATGGAGAGATGGATGTACAAAAACGGATTAATAAGTCTTCAAGTTTTACAAGTTAAATAGAAAAACTAAAAAGGTTTCGGCCATATAAAAAAAGTTAAAAACTTATAAAACCCAGTTCTGCTGTTGTTTGTTGATTTTTTATTATATATGTATATATATTTTTAGTATCGGCGATAACAGCAAATAAATATCAGAAAGGAAATTAAATCATGAAGGGTAGAGAGAAATTGTTAAGTTAAGTTCAGTTAAGTTCAAGTTCATAATCAAGGGAAGGTCAAAGAGACTTTGAAAGAAGACAAAAGAAAGATATGGATTATGGGAAAGAGAGAGAGAATATGTGAAAACAGGAAGGATAAAGGAAGGAAAGAAAGCATAAGCAAGAGGGAAGGTGGATGGAAGGAAGTTGGCATAGAGTAAGATGCAAGGAAGGAGAGATTAAGGATGGAAGGAAGAAGAAGTAAGGAGAGACTAACGAAGAGGAAGGATGAAGAAGGAAAGATGATGAAGAAGGAAGGTTACTAACCTGATCATCTAACAGATGGCAAAGACCATGAAACATAATCTCAAACCTCCACCCAAACTTTCTAAAAATTAATATCTATAACAGTTGGGTCCTCGGATTTTTTTAAAACAATTGATCACTTTAACATTTTAGCTTTAACTTAACTTAACTTAAAAAATATCATTATTCAAGTAACCAGGCTAGTCCGCCTTAAAGAGAATGAAGACGTAATTTTCGTGGTGTATAAGATTAAGAATGATTTTTTGAGATTTTGGGGGGAAAATGAAAATCTATATAAAAAACATGAATTACTAGGTTTTAAGTTAGTCTATTTAAATTGTGAACATGTTCTCTTTGTGTACATTGTAAAACAGAAACAAAACAAAAATTTCGCGGATTTTGTAATAAAATTTCGTGGATTTTTAAAATTTTCAAAAATCTAATTTTGTTAGAGGCAAATTTTTGAAAATTTTATTATCCACAAATCTTCCCTTTTTCTTGTTGTTTAGATAGAGGCGTGATTGATATGCGAATCATAAGGCCGGAGAAGTGCTGCAGGGTAAGATTGCATGTGGCTACAAACCCCAGCGATTTCGTTAAAATAAAATAAATGGAATTGTTATAAATTGGAAACTTGATGAATGGAAGGAAACTTGAAATTAGGTCAACCCTCGAAAGTCCCTCTAATGAATTTAAGAAAAAGCCTACCTTTCACACTGCCCACAACCGATCTCACCATTAGAAGGGGTTCTATCCCAATCCACTCCTGATCGTATATAAAATATTAATTTTCTTCATGATATCATTAAAAATTAACGTGCAACATTATAAAAGCCATGAAGGTGTTTAAAAAAAAAACCCCCCCCCCCCCCCCAAAAAAAGAGAGAAATTTACAAGAAATTTTACAAATCCGTGAAATATTAATCAAAATCTGCACAGTGTACTTAGTTCGTATTATCGACCATACGAAAAACATTTCGAATTTACGAAAAAAAAATTCAAAGTAAAATTAAATATTAGTCTCTTAAACTCAAACATTACACCGTAAGAATGGAGGAGGATTTGCAATATATCGAAATATATTTTCAAACCTGTTTTTTTCAAGCAAAGTCTAACCTCTCCACCAGAATCAAAAATAGTCAAGTCATGGGATTTTAGGGATTAAAAAACAAAGGTCGAACATGACAATGAAACTAATGGTTAAATACCTCTGACTAATCCATCTCCAATATAGAACTCGAAGTCTAATTCCCATTCCTTCTTCTTCGGTTTACGGACCCTATGTCCTTGTTGTTCCCTCTTCATCCTTCTCTCCTCCTTCTCCCTCTCCTTCCTCTCCTTCTCCTGGTGTCGCTCTGCCTTTTCTTTTGCCAGGATTTCTCTCTCCTCTTGAACCTAGAGACAACAAGGAATAAGAATACAGGGTACACCGACATATAAGACTTTTTTTTTACGGATTTCCGGAAAATGAAAAGTTTGATTGAAAAGACAGGAGAGAGAGAAACTTGTTGGTTTATAACCCCCATTTTTAACCCCCCCCCCTAAAAAAAAAAAATATCTGAACCAGAAAGGGGGCCTTTTTTACATTCCACTTACTGAATAACTCGTTTCCTGGTGTTGCCCGTAGAATTATTATTTGCGGTCACAAAGATAAAACCGAAAGACATGCCACAAGACTGAGCACATTGTAGGTTTGGTGGGGTTAACCAACAGGTAGGGGTGTATATTAGTTTTGAGACGCATATTCTTGCGCCCCTCCTCCCACCCAATTTTAATAACCATTTTTCCCCCAAGGCCACGACTTTAAAACAAGTGTTTTTTACAGGGCTACACAGCCCGCGGAAACTTCAAAGATGGTGGGGGGGGGGGGGCAACATGAAAAATATACACATCCCTTTGGGGGCAGAACTCTTTAATGAGAGAGAGGGGGTGTACTACCTGCTGTGGATGATCTTCAAGTAGATGTTGATGTAGTCCAACAATACTAACATGTGGTTCACCGCAATATTCACCTTCAACAAATATTTTTAAGCATGGATAAAAGTTTTTAAGACTCAAATGAGGAAGAAATGGGTATATAAAATGCATGGATAAATGAATGGATGAAGAGGTAAATGTGTGAAAGGGTGTATGAATATCAGGGGTGGATACAGGATTTAAGTGAGGGGGTTACTAGATTTGTGAAAGGGTGGATGAATATCAGGGGTGGATACAGGATTTAAGTGAGGGGGTTGCTAGATTTGTGAAAGGGTGGATGAATATCAGGGGTGGATACAGGATTTAAGTGAGGGGGTTGCTAGATTTGTGAAAGGGTGGATGAATATCAGGGGTGGATACAGGATTTAAGTGAGGGGGGTGCTAGATGTGTAAAAGGGTGGATGAATATATTAAATGTAAGAATGAAAGATTAGCTGAAAGAAGTGAGAAAATGAATGTAGAAATACGATAAATATATAAATTGTAGTTTTATGAATTTTAAAAACTGCATGAATTATGTATCAAGGATTGAAAAGATGAATATATAAATCAGTGATGCGGGTGTTATTTAATCAGCAAATTCTTACATTTATTTGTTTTATTAGATTCGCAATTGTACGCATGTCTCTTCTTAACATGTGTTCTCAAGTTTGCAGGTTGGGTAAACTTATTCCCGCATACAGCACACTAAATGTACATTAACAATTATTATCATTAATATCTTATTATTTTCATTATTATTTTATCATTTTAATTATTATCTTATTATTTTCATTATTGATTATTATTTTAATTATTATCTATAAATTTTTCTTATTATCTTATTATTTTAATTACTATCTTATTATTTTAATAAAAAATCATTCATTCGTCTTATTTGTCCGTCACCACTTTACGTTGAGGAACATTTTGTCAAAACTAGAAATGACAAAATATAAAAACCATGGCCTGGATAATTTTGACAAATCTCTGTGGTTCAAGCAGTGAACGCCTTACAAGACAATCTGCTGATATATTCAACCAGAAACCAAAAAACTTAAAACCGGAAAAAACTACCCGACCATAAGGATTCATAAGGAAGTGAAATCTGCAAGAGGCCATAAGATATCAAATCTGCCAAAAAAGTAAGTGTATTCAAAGAAAAATATGTTCACAGGGATCTGAACACAAACCTAAAAGATACCATTCTACCTTCAGTTCCTAAAAATAATTCTCAACATATTCCTAGATGGAACACTGATAATCAACACTCAAGTAAGAATACGTAAGTAAACCTGTGAAGTTTTAAAAAAATGGATTAATAATCTTGGCAAAAAATTATTTCCAGTTTTTTCCGCTGAAATTGTGAAAATAAATGAGTTTTGTAAAGATGAATGAATTTCCACCCTGAAAATTTATCCATTTCATCCTAGATCCATAAATTCCCATGGAAAATGTTAATTTTTTATTGACAATATATACATTTGGATACCCTTGGATCGGATCGAAGTGTACCCTGTATTACCTGGAACGGTTTTCTCTAGATCGGATCGAAGTGTACCCTGTATTACCTGGAACGGTTTCTCTCCTGTATGAACGACAACATGATGGAGTAAAGCCTGCTTCGTAGTAAACTTCTTCTTACACACAGAACAGACCAACACCTTCTCACCTAGGTAAGGTATTGTTAATGAATAGAATTCGAAGGACATAAAAATATTCAATTATAAGAAAACCTTGGGATGAAAAAAAAAGTCCTCTAGCGAGCAAAAATTGAACTAAAACTAACCCCGTGTCCAGTGTTTGCGTCTAACTTCTGAGGTTTAAAATGAATAACAAGATGGCGTCTCAGCTCCCAGGGCCAATTCCAAATCTGAAATAAAAATAATATCAGAAGTGATTATTGTTTAAAACTACGTTAAAAAATATTCAAACGTAAAAACATATCATCCCAGGAAAAATGGCGGGGACTTTAGATTTTCGACATTGGAATGTCGAAGCCTAAAAGTTTCTAGGGATGGATCAGTTAAAAATATTTAAAGTCTTTTTATGAAAAAATATTTTCTTCTTCTATTTAATCAAAGAAATTTTTTTTACCTTTGGACATTTAGGACAGGGAAACTTGTTTTTGGAAGGATACTTTTTAGCGACCTTGAAGAGCACATGTCAATCACGATTAATATTTTTAAATTAATCTTAATTAATTGTTTGATTGGGTGAATAGTTAGTGACGATTTAATTAAGATTCAGTGAGATATTGAGAAAATGAAAAATTGATTTATTGAGAAATTGATTTATTAAGAAATCGATTTATTGTATTATTAATTTATAAGATATTAATTTATTTCAATTTGGATTGTTTGAGATGTAGATTTATTGAGATATAAATTTATTGCGATATAAATTTTGATTTATGGTTGATTTATTGCGATATTTGATTCGTTGATTGATTGATTGATTGTGTTCCTTAATAGTAGTCTCCTCTGGTATCCTATCTGTGTAGTTGTCCAACCATTTCTCCATTTCCTCGTTAGTTTCACGTCCATCATCCTAGAAAAAAAATCAATCTTTCAATCAATTGATTTATTAATCAACAATTCAATAAATCAATTAGATAATATATCGAACAATGTATTAATCAAATATTCAAATAATCATTTAATTAAACGATCTGACAATTAATCAATCAATCGAATAATAAATCAATTAATTTACCAATTGATCAATCAACCACATAATTTATCGGTTAAAAAAAATCAAACAACAAAACAATTACCTAACGAATTTATCATTTCATTATTTAATCATTTAATCAATTAATCAATTAATCAATCAAACAACTAACCAATTAACCAATTAAACAATTCACCAATTCCCGTTTGCAAATAAATAGAAACTTCATTTCTACGCATCGTTATATTAACATTTTAGGACAAACAAACAAGTACAAGTAATCAAACAATTAATCAATCAATTAACTCATTGTTACAATATAATTCCGGAACGAGTCATCCATAAACCAAACTACTGATTTACATTTAATTGCTACATTATGCCGAACAAAAAATAAATAAATCAAAGAAAACAATATAAAATTAATTTCAAACTATCTAACCTTGAGAATTAACACTAAATTATTTCACCACCTTCAAATGATTAAAAAAATACAACTTAATCCACAAATTTACAGTCAAACAAAATAAAATCAACCAAACAATCTTTCAATCAATCAATCTATCTATATATTTATCAATCAATCAATCTATCTATCTATTCATCCATCTATCAATCCATCAATAACTGTATCCATTAATCAATTCAATCAATCTATTCATCCATTAAACTATTCATCAATCCATCAATCAATCCATAGATCTATCAATCCATCTGGCAATCCATCTAGAAATCCATCCATCAAACAATCCGTCAATCAACCCTTTAATCTATCAATCAATAAAGTAATTAATGATTCAATCCATCAATTAATGAAATACTAACATCATGATTAAAGCTGATATCCCGATCCTCTCGATCAAAGTCGTCATCATCGTCACTGTCCTCCTCCCCATCCTTCTTGTTCAGGATTGCGTACTTCTTGACCTCCTCAGTGCCTAGGAAGAGGAGAATGAATTGAGCAAAATGCAGACAGAGGCATATATATATATTATACATACAAACATAATGACCCCTTTCTGTAACCCAAGCTTAAAAGGAGAACGGCACAAAAAATTCGTTCGCTTTGAAATTATCTTTATTCTTCATAGAAATCACAACCCCACTGCCTCCTCCCCCCCTTATTAACATCTAAGCTAGGACTAAAGAGAAAAGTTATGGAAAAGGCTTATAATGTTTTTTTTTCTCTCCAACTTTTGAACAAAATTATAGCACTTTTGAATCCCTGATATTTACATTGCAACCCTGAAACCAGAGTCGTAACTATTATGTAAATCAAGATGTTATATTTTGTTTAGAAGTGAAAAAAATCTTCATTAAATTTGTTTCCTACGGCCTCCCTGCCTTATGAAGAGATAAATAGTTTTTACCAAGCTGGATAATTTTCAGGGTTTTGATCCCCTTTTCCTCTGTCCTCCCCATCTCTTCAGCATCGTTTTCATTTTCAACATCATCATCGTCGTCCTCGTCGCTATCTTGATTTTCCTAGATTTAAACTTTTCAAGGAACTTTATACTAATAAAAGGACTGTTAACCCTTAAAGTGGGCTGTTAACTGTTAAAGAGACTGTTAACTGTTAAAGGGACGGTTAACTGTTAAAGAGACTGTTAACTGTTAAATGGACTGTTAACTGTTATTGAGACTGTTAACTGTTAGAGACTGTAAGTTGTTAAAAAGACTGTTAACTGTTAAAAATACTGTTAACTGTTAAATGGACTGTTAACTGTTATTGAAACTGTTAACTGTTGAAGGACTATTAACTGTTAAAGAGACTGTAAGCTGTTAAAAAGACTGCTAACTGTTCAAGAGACTGTTAACTGTTAAAGGAACTGTTAACTGTTAAAGGACAGTTACCTGTTAAAGGGACTGTTAACTGTTAAAGGACTGTTAACTGTTAAAGAAACTGTTAACTGTTAAAGAAACTGTTAACTGTTATAGGGACTGTTAGCTGTTAAAGGGACTGTTAACTGTTAAATGGACTGTTAACTGTTATTGAGACTATTAACTGTTAAAGCACTATTAACTGTTAAAGAGACTGTTAACTGTTAAAGGAACTGTTAAATAAGAGACTGTTAACTGTTAAAGAGACTTTTAACTGTTATAGTGACGGTAAACTGTTAAAGGGACTGTTAACTGTTAAAGAGACTGTTAACTGTTTAAGGATCAGTTAACTGTTTTAAGGGCTGTTAACTGCTAAAGAGACTGTTAACTGTTAAAGGGACTGTTAACAATTAAAGAGACTGTTAACTGTTATTGGGAATGTTTACTGATTAAAGGGACTGTTATTTGTTAAAGGGACTGAACTTAAATAGATTGAGTGATTTTTTTCTGAAATAAAAACAAAACATCTGCACGTGTGTTAAATATTGATATTAATAAGAAAAGGAGGGTTTAACCCAAAAGGAGATTGCAGCATTAGGAGAAACAAAGATTTATAGATCGAGAGTATAAAAATGGTGAATGCCGACTTATTCACAACAATATAATTTGGGGTCCAAAAATCGTATACTAGGAAATAACCTAATTGGCTAAACAAGTAACAAATTCAACACCTATTAGATGGGTCGAGCATATAGTGAAGAAAAAATTGAATTGGCTAAACAAAATCTAATAAAATTGTTAGGTAATTTGTATGTATACCCGCATTATCATGCATAAAACGTAATTGACAATTTTAAATATTTTCTTCATACCTTATCATTGTCCCACTTGACCGACTCGAGCGCACTCAGTGCACGTTTCTTTGGCGTACTCTCCAACGTTCTCCTAGACCGACTTGCCCGAGGGACCGGGTCATCCTTGTTCAAATTGTCAAATTGTTCTTCGTTTGAGATCAGAGGTACCAATTCTGTACCGGCTCGATCTTTAACCTTGTACTGGTTCGACCTCTACTTCTTGTACTGGCTCGACCTATATCTTCTACAACTGCTTCTCTGGACCGACATTTAAGTCCGCCCTCCACCCGAATAGGACCGGCTTGACCCCTGCCGAGCTCCTTTGCTGCAGACTTGCAGAGAAGAAGCCATCTTGGAGAGCAATGTTTTCATTCTTTGTGTTGTGATTTTTATGTTTAGTGAAAAGTTCAATGAACTTGCAATTTTATGTTTTGTTTCACTTCGCAGACTTCTGAACATTGATAATACTTTTTTTGGTTGCTAACTTTTTCCTTTTTTTCAGATTTTCCATTGGCCCATGGTTGAAATATTTTAAATAGTGTGTATTATTGTTGCAAACTGAATATACGGTTAGTATCTTTTGTTCAGATGAAACATTTTTAAATTAATTAAACAAAATAATTTTTGAAAGTATTGCAATTGATTATATGTATTTTCAGGATTTAGACAAATGACATTTATACGCGCTATAGTACTTTTTGACGTATGAACATTTAACATTTTAAACTCTGGGTTTGTCCTAGTGAACGATTTTAGCCCCCACCCCTCCTATCAATTTTGTACGTGACGAAATTAGTAAATTAGTATTTATTTATAATTATTTAGGGTTAGGTTAGGTTTAGACACTTTCTGGGCCGAGCGCTGCGGCTAGGGGGCCGAGCGCTGCAGCCACGGGTTAGGTTAGTTAAGACACTTTCTGGGTCGAGCGCTGCGGCTATGACAGGCTAGGGGGCCGAGCGCTGCGGACACATGGTCAATNGAATATACCTAAACTCTTTTCAAAGGTAAAACCCGTTTTTCAAGACCCCTCCCCCTGATCCAAGAAAAAAAATGCACTTCATGTTGACACAAGACACATTATTATTTTCAGTTTTGACGCGCTTCTAATTTATGATTTTCAGTCGATCATTGGTGGGATCTATTATTGTCGACACCTGTTGTCGACATATCTATTGTCGACATCTACTCTTGTGTCGAAGTGAACTAGTGAACCAGAAATGGACACGACTAAAGGACTTTCAATGTCGACCTTGAAAAATGGCCGGCAGTATCCTTAAAATTCGTTTCTTAAAGAACATTCTCCTTTAAATCGATCCTTAGTCTCTCAAAATCAAAGTTTGAATAAATAATCAGTTTTTGGACAATTTATCAAATCTGTGTCACTGCACAGGGCCTTCTCATCATCTTTCAGATATTTAAGGATTACCCGAAATTAGGTCCTTTTGGGGTCCAGAGACCCCCAAAAGCGACCATCTTGCTTTGGACTTATTGTGAACCAGGGCTCAAGTCCCTTACATTCTACCAAGATGGAATCCTATAAAAAGACTAGAATAAATTATTTCAGGAAAATCAGAATTTTTAGTGATCCCAAATATGAGCGAGGCCGAGAGACGAGAGGAGGAGGAGAGAAACGACGAGATGTTGAACGCCCCGGACGAATCGGAGGACACAAGAATGGAAGAGACTGAGGAACTGGATGAGTTAAAGGACGATGAGGACGATAACTCCCTGGAGCTGGGGATGAACGAGTCCGATCGAATGGATGGAGACGATATTCTGGACGATCTGTTACCAACCAAGGACGAGAATAATTTCGAAGAAGATGAGGAGGATGTGGAGCAAAGAGATGATATATCTGACGAGGAGGAGGAGGAGGAGAAATCTGATGAAGAAAGGGATGAGATGGATGGAATTCAGGAGAATGCTGTTTCTGATATCAGGCAATCATTATTTTATCGCGTTTTTCGGAAATACTATCAAACCTTTCCAGGTTCATTATTTAAAGCATCAATCAATTCTGATATTTTCAAAATTTCTAGTGACATTGGAGTTCAAAAGAAAATCCATGAAATTTCCAAAATTATGGCGGGATACGAAATATTTATAAATGCGCGAAATGATGGGAAACTTAGTGATACGGAAGACGACCTTGTGCAAGGAGACGGGGTTAAGTTCCCGGATTCCGATTTCTCCGAAGTATCAAAGCGAGAAAGTGAGGATGAGACCGACGGCGGAAAGAAATCAGAACTTGGAGATAAAGAGGTGAGTGTGATCAGTTTTACTTCTTCTCGCTATAGCTTAAATCTGCCATGATATAATTTATTTGGTTCAGAAAAAGATCAAGCTTTCATCTTTTAAAAGCCTTTTTTGAGTTAAATGTTATGAAATTTAAAAAAAATTGATATAAATTAATATAAAGTATATTATAAGATTTAAATCTATTTTTAGATTTTTATTTTTCAAATTGGTTCAATTTATTTTGACTGATAAATTACTATAAAGTATTTAATAGTTCGATTGAAACAAAGGATATTTTTTTATAATTTTTACGATAATAAAAACTGTAAATTCAGACCAATACCTTCGTTTTAAATTTTATTTATTTTGAGGATGTAAATATTTCCAAAGAGCGGTCTGCAGAACCAAAGATAAAAGAAGAATCAAAAAACAACTCGGAGGTAAATTCAAGGGGTTGTGTGTAAAAAAAACAAATCTGTGGTAAATTCAAGGGGCTGTGTGTAAGAAAACAACTCGGAAAATAATTCAAGGGGTTGTGTTTAAAAAAACAACTTGTAGGTAAATTCAAGGGGTTGTGTGTAAAAAAATAAGCTCAGAGGTAAATTCAAGGGATTGTGTGTAAAAAAATAAACTCGGAGGTAAATTCAAGGGGTTGTGTTTAAAAAAACAACTCTGAGGTAAATTCAATGGGTTGTGTTTAAAAAAATAAACTCGGAGGTAAATTCAAGGGGTTGTATGTAAAAAACAACTCGGAGGTAAATTCAAGGGGTTGTGTTTAAAAAAACAACTCGGAGGTAAATTCAAGGGCTTGTGTGTAAAAAAAAAACTCGGAGGTAAATTCAAAATCGCTGGACCTTTCAGCTCGTTTTATATATTTTTCTCTTTCGAATTCATATTCCACCTGAAATAATCGGGTTTATTTTTATTTTTAGTTTATACGGTCACCTATGTGCGACAAACTTACGAGTGAAATGCGTAGAAGCACCGAATTTTATGAGAAAAAAATTCCAGAAGTGTNAATTCGGTGATGGTGATGGACCAAACCTCTGTAGAGTAAAAAAGTAGATGTTAGTTCCACATTTATTGAAAATATATTTCGGTCTGGGTTGATAATATATGTAATAATAATAGTAAATACTTGTAAACTTATTAATTTTTTATTTAAAATACTTATACATATCTTTAACTTTTCCTCTATTAATTCTTCCTCCAAAGAAATTGCTCATTGCATAACCTAAACTAATCGGTGTTGCTTAGGACCCATTAGATTTTGATCCGGATCCTGGATCCGCACTGGAATTTTTTTTTAACAAAGCAGAATTGCCCAATTCTTTTCCTTTTTGATGAATCATTCAGAGATCAGGAAATGTTTATATTCTCTCTTTTTTTCTACAGTTCAGATTTGGGTTTTGAAAGTAAAAAAAAGTTTTTTTATAGTTTTTGGTTGATATTTTGCCCTTTGGATCTGGATCCGTAAGTCTGCATATTTTTGTGGATCAAGATCAAGCCAAAATCTGGCGGCTGCTATTTTGGAGTTGATGGTACATGATAATGCTTCTGTTATTCAAACTGTAAATGTTAGGAGAAATGTGTGTGGAGCACTCCTTTAAGCAACGAGACTAAGTTTAACCAGGCTTATCAGGAGTCAAGAAATGTGCTTCTAGTATTTTCAGTCAAGGTATTGCTTTGCTTTATTTAGAAGGGAAGAAGC